AATTACAAACGCTTTGAAACTGAAACTTTCTCTGCAAACCATCCTCGCACCTTGTTGTTGAATCCAAAGTAGATGGGCATCTGCACTTTTTTCAGCATCTCTTGCAACAGTTTGATGCAAAGGTATTGTAAGAGTGGTTGTATAAAAATACACAATCTTCAAAGGGACAATGTGATAGCTTCATGATCACATCCGGCTTCATAACATTCAAAAGACTATAAGACGTTTATATATAAAAATTAAGCCTCAGTGGTCTGGTACTTTTTTTAGTCATGGTTGTTTTGCATTAACAGGCACAGACTTGCAGCGATGCAGCCTTGATGAGAAGCATCTCTCTACACTCACTCTCACTGGGGACGAGCATGTTTCCATTAGACCAGCTGGGCTCTAAACGCATCACCTCTCCTTCAGAAAAACAGCCCGGGTTAAGGGGGCAGAGCTCTTTGCTTCTCCTGTCCCCTGCTGCCAGCTTCACTCCACACCATGAGAAACCAGGGGCCATGTGATGGCAACAAAGAAAACACTCATTTGCTGACCTCACTCCAGTGTCAACAGTAACAGGTATAAAGAAAGAAATACTGTTTATACTTCATGTAATCTGTCCTGGGGAAGGATTTAAATATTAAGTTAGCCATGCAGGCAATTAGGTCAGCTCCATTACAGTATAATATCTGGCTGAAACCCATTTCCGGAAATCTGAGCACCTGTATATTTTGGCCTGTACAGAAGTGGTTTGATTCTGACATTTGTCTGGTTAATTGTTGTTGTTGTTGTTGTTGTTGTTGTTGTTCCAGAAATTCAGAAAGCAAGTGTGATGTTTAAAATGTCTGAGTCAGAGGTGCCGGGATTTTGGGGCCCATGAAAAGATATCACATTCGGCCCCACCACCACAGGCCACGCCAACTGCTGTAATCACAGAACCTAATCGTTCAAATGACTATCTTTGCAGGCTATCAACGCTCTCTTACTGACAGTGAGCAAACTGTGCAGACATGCACGCAATGGAATTCCCTATTTGATGCAAGGCTTATATCCTCTGTAAGAAATGTGTTAAAGGCCATCTTTATAGTCTCAATGTACCTCCACCATTCAAATAAATTAGCATTATCATCTATAGAAAATAATTACATTGTTTGAATTCTTTAAGGGCTTAAAGGGATAGTCCGGGTCTTTTGAAGTGGGGTTGTATGAGGTCCATAGTCAGTGTGTACAGTAGACGGAGGTCAGCACACCCCCACTTTGGAGAAGCAGACAAGAGTCCTGGCATGGAAGCTAAGCAATGCACTACACATATTTTAGGCCTGCCTCAAAAAAAATTATAATATAATATCACCACTTTACCCATCGTCAGACAGCCTTTTTCTTTGCAATACACTGGATTTTTGTCAAAAAATAAATATAAAAAAGAAAAATAAATAAAATATTTAATCATATATTTACATAATGTTTGCCATGATCATATTTGTAGCCTTAGCATATGGATGCTAACACTCTCTCCACTACATTTTAAGCATTCTAACATACCTAAAAAAGGACAGCGGAGACAGTTGACAGTGCTAGCAGTTGAAAATGATACCATGTTGATGTTTAGCACGTATATTGTATATTGTTTACAGTGGTCACCATCTTAGTTTAGCATGATAGCCTGCTAAGATTTGCTGATTTGCTCTATACTACAGCAGAGACTGATGGGTATGTACAATGCAAGTCTTAAACCAAAGTTAAAATTCATCCTGAAGTGGACATGTCTGTACTATTGAGGGTAGGTCTGTACCAAATTTGATTGGCAATCCATCCAGTGATTGTTGAGATATTTGACAGATATCACTGACCGACATTCCCACCCCTTAAGCCACACTGCTAGTGTGGCTAATAAATGAAAAGTGTGCACACTGCAGTCTTGCCGCAGGCTCCCAAAACTCATTATTTCATGTTGTTGGACAATATTCTAGTAAGTATTAGTCTTAGTAATGTTAGCAGTATCTCTGCTCATTTGCTGGGCTGCGTACCACAACAAAGATCAATAGATCCTTGTCAGTAATGCTGGAGGTCATCAATGGAAACACGGAAACACATTTATGTAATCAGGCAAATGGGAGATGTGAGGTCAAAAAATAATCCTTTTCTCCTTCTTTAGATTCGGATGAAAAATAAACCCTGTGGCATAAAATAGGTGTGAATCAAACTGCAGTGCAGAGCAACTGACTTGTCTTGGGTACATTTTCATCCCTGACAATATTTGGCTCGATCTGGATGGTGAGGGCGCTGCCTTCAGCTGTGGTTTGACAGGAGAGGATGCCTTGCCTCGCTGCAGCTGTTCCACTCGTTGACATCAGCCCACAGCACTTCTTCTCCAGCAGTGAATGTGGAGATATTACATTTCACCTTCTTTGGCTGTCCCGTGTTTTAAAATAGTTCAAATGTTCCGAATCATGCAGTAAACAACACACACCCTCCTTCCTTGCTCAGCCTGCAGTATCTGAATGTTGCAACTGTAATCCTTCAGAGCAGCAATCATACAGGCTATTGCTGATGTCTATTTAGGGTCTCTATTAATGTTTCACACTGTATATGGTGGCTTGAGTATGAGTATTTTCCCACGAGGAGTTAGCACCTGACCATTTGACTAAAGGGGGGTTTTGAAAAGTGCAGAGTGCCACTCACTCACCTGTTTTGATCTTAATTGGTTAATTTATTGAAGCCATAAACTGGCAAAATAAATCAAACAGATTGTAGAAGGGTGTGTCAGGAAAGAGCTTGCAGAACATCTCTCACATTTGCCGCTCTGATTAAATATACTGTCATCTGCTTTTTATGAGGAGCGCAGATCACAAATATTTGTTTTAATATGGTGACTTCTGCTTATTCACACACATACAGTCTTCATCAGTTTGCACATATGAAACGGCACAGCGGCAGACAGGTCTCCTCCCAGGCTTTGCTTTGGCATTGTGATTTGTGATGGATGCCTGTCACCGGTGCTTCGGGGGGTTTAATTACGAGATGGTTTAATCCAGGCTTGACTATCAAAACCTATCCAGGTATCACCTTCAACGCAAGAGAGAAGAACGTTTACAAAGGAATTGTTTCAGCACAAACCAGTGAAGTTAAGCTGCTGTATTGGATTGTAAGGGTGTAATACTAGAGTGCTGTATTTCCAGTGAGTTCAGACTACTTTGAACTCTGTTTACAAAAGGCAGTTGGAGTTTGGGGATATCAGTTTGAAGCACATCGTCCACTCAAGTTACCAAGGTTAAGAAATATATCCCGAACAGGTGCTACTCATGATACGAGATGCCCTCGAGAAAAATAATAACACAACAACAGTAGACATTCCCAAGCCACTAGCCCTTTTTTATTCCCAAAGATGTCACCAAAATGTAATTATGTAATTGCCTCATCCTGAACAAGTCCCCGGAGGAGAGAGAGAGAGAGAGAGAGAGAGAGAGAGAGAGAGAGAGAGAGATTTTCTTTTCTGCAGAGAATTTATTCATGGACTAGCGTCTGCTTTGTCGCCCAATCCTTTGAATCCAGAGAGCACAGCACTGCCCTAGAGGCTTTTGGTAGAAGACATTGCAGAAGTACACTTTAGGTTTAGCATTAGCATTGCATTAAAGCATGCAACGCAAACCTGTCCATTATTATTATTGTAGAGCTTATTTGAGCCCCACCCTCCAACTAAATTACTGAGTGGACTGACAAACTTTTATGTCCTCCTTTATGTCCGATTGATGCTACTTTGTAAACGTGTATATTTTCTTTTCTTTATCATTTTATATCCATTTATATAAATTTCAGCCAAAGCAGCAATCAAAAACTAGATGGTGGTGCTATCATAACTTCACACTAAAGATCACTGGGTTAAAAATGGACCCAGTCTGGGGTTAATCTAGCACAGATGCAATTGTGGTTTAACTTTACCCAGTACCCAAGGGTAAAAAAACAGAAGGGTAGTTTTGATCCAGTAACCCAACAGTAATATAAAAATAACACCAACACTGGGTCAATTTTTTAATCCACTCAATTCCAAACATTTTGCCGATTGCAAGAAGATGTTATATCTGGCTCACTGGATCTAATTTCAAATAAAAAGGCTAATGAAAATCTCTCCAGTGGCAAAAATATAATCAAAACTTCTTTTTTCAAACTACTTTCAGGGTATACTGTACATATTTGGCAAAGAAGTCCCAATCTTATGGTAACCCGCATGAAATATTTCAACCTTTTCCCATTTGCAGAAATGAAAAGGATGGCAGTTAAATGACAGCATGCTCTGAATATGGTTCTGACATAACATTGTTTGTGTAGGTTACACAGTATGTGCATGTTTGCGTAGGTATCAGACACTCTAATTTTGACTGTGATGAGAATACTCAAAGCAACTCAACTACTGCAAACATGCCCCCGCCCCTCCCTACACTCCTCTCAGACATAGACTCACAGTGCAATAGGAGCCCAGCATGTTGCATAAGGATGTGCAGTGTCAGCCCAGAGCCAAAAAAGATCTGGTTCCATAAAGGCTCTTTCACCCTCCTCAGAAAAGGGACCCCATTCTGACTTTCTACCACAGGCCACCCTGTGTCATGCCTCTAGAAGAGAAACTTATACAACGTAATCTGCTGCTCCTAGGTCTGCCATCTAAGGGCACGATGAGGGCCACGTTTTCCTTGGCAAGGAACAGAGTGAGCGACTGAGAGAGAGAGAGTGGGGTAGACATCGAGGGTTGTTGAGGGAAGATGTCCCAAGTTCCTCACCATTTCAATTTGTCCATTTAAAAATCACAATGCATAACCATTATAATTGGCACATCGCAGTCATGAGCAGGATGATTGTATGGAACATTGTGTGTGTGTGTGTGTGTGTGGCACTCTAATGAGTTGCCGGGTGGTGTGCAAACGCTGCTGCTGGATTTCCATCTCCAGGACGTAGGCAGGTCAGGAGATCGTGAGATCTGGCATAAGATTAAGGAAATGATTCAAAAATGGAGTGCACATACATACCATGTCTTGTCTGGCACTCGTCTATCCATCTGTACGTCCCTTGGGGCAACAGCAAACAGAGTTCCCAAACTTGACTTCACCGAGCAAAAAATAGGCATGAATTTAATCACTTGTTCTTGTTTGTCAGATCAGACCTGCCTGAGAAAAAAACAAAGAAGTAAAGGCTGAGCAGAAAGGAATAAACTTTGAATAGTTCAGAGCCCTGGCTTTCTTCACAGGCTACTTAAATCATGGGAGCTGCAAAAGTCAAAAGTGTGTGATAAGTAGCCACAGTATCACCTCTCTGTCTCTTACGCACCAGTTAAAGACTGGAAAGGGACTGGAAACAGCTGTCCTCTTGGTGTTGCATTGCACTCTTGGAATAAATGACTGTCTGCTAGGGTTTGACTTTATATATATATATTTTTGAGTGTTAAAAAGATGGAATACATAACTTCAACATCAATCAATACAATTACACCTTTCCTCAAAAATGTATTAATATAGAAAGTCATATATCATAATAATGATCAGGAATAGAGGGTGTAAGGTGTTGAGAAACCTTGTTTTCATGCCTTGCTGGATTTGAACACAGATACAAGTGTCTTGATATTAAAGCTCACACTTTATGACTTTATTGCAGATTTTTTAAGTTTTTTCTTGCTGGGCCAGATCAGAGTGATTTTCTACGGGGGTGATAAGCTGTTAGTACAGACCGTCGACCAGCAGCAGTGAATCCTCCACGGAGAAGAGCAGGAGACTTTTTTGGCTATTTTTTTGCACTTTGCTGCCGGTCAAGTTTTCCTATTATTATTATTATTATTATTATTATATTGGGACTAATTATATAGCTAAAATGCCCTAAATGTTGCACTCCCAAGGAGTGACGGAGGAAATATTCAGATCTTTTATCTTCAGTAAAAGTAAAGTACATATAAAGCAAAATGTACATATCAAAAGAAGAAGTGCTGATAATGAAGAAACATTTCCCTGGTGAATGTTATGCTATTATGTATTATTATTGCTGATACATTAATATGTAAGCAGCATTTTTGTAGCTGGTCTGTGGATATATTTTCAACTATATTATAGACTGTTGGGATGTTTAATCTATAATGGTGCATCATATGTTTGGTATGTAAAGTCTTAATGTGTAAAGTAACTATTAGCTGTCAGATAATTGTGGTGCAGTAAAAGGTTCATTTCTCTCAGAATTGCAATGGCGTGTAAGTATAAAGCAGCATACAATGGAAATTGTGGCATAAAGTAAAAGTACCTTAACTTTAAATACTTCTAATGTACTTTTTTTGTTACATTCCACAACTTTTCTAATGTCTTAATTGTGTTTATAACATTAAGTTGCTATTATGTACAAAACAAGCCACAATTACCCAGTCCATCACTTTCACTGCTACCCTGCTGAGTTCCTAAAATGCCCTTTTGCAGTCCAGAGATATTGTGATTCACTTCTGCATCACATTCCGCATTGAATTGAGTTGGGACAGTAATTGAACTGGATGTTGCCTATTTTCCCCCTCACACGACGATCTTTTGAGCGGCATTATGTAAGTCCTTCCTAAAAAAAGAGTGTCTTTGGTTTGGCTGGCAAACCACTCTCTCTGCAGAACACTGGAGCACTGCCTGCAGTCCACTGGCATTGAGTTTTGTCATCCTGGCATGAAGTCATCGGTCTTTGACGGACACATGGAGCAGAGTAGTCTGCTCCAAGTGAGCTTTTATTAACCTCTATTGTTAACATTCACAGCAAAAAAGCACTCAGAAAGAGCCATCAAAATGAGATTCTTCTTTCTTTTCATCGCTCATCCTGAAGAATCACGACTTACCAAGAAGTGTGCGTTCACTTCGGCGTACTTACATAAGGATATTTACACAAACAGGAACTTTAATATTACTGGCATACTGTAATATAAAAGACTGACTGTGCTGGAAACTATTAGACCTTTAACCCTTCTTAATCATATTTCACAGACAATTGTCTGGCTTATAACCGCAGAGGGTAAAAGCTACATATCCACCCAGCAAGTTGGGTTAGATTACCATGCTCGTGTGCTGAGGGCAGGTGTAGCATTTCAATTTCGTGCTTCAATCACACTTTCATTACATTATGCCTTCTTTACAGTATCACATGTGAGAGAAAAGTGGCAGAGTTGGACACTACTGCTGCAGGTAGAAACCCAAAGACTTGGCTTTCTTTTATCAGCTGGATCAGTCAGCTCCAGTATCTCTGGTCTCGATTAGAGTGTGCGGTTGCAGGAATAAGAGTCTTAAGTGGAACTGTTAGTGACATGGAAGTAGGAATTAAGTGGGTTGAAGAGCGGCCTGAAATGCAATTTGACCATATACAGCAACATGCATGTAGAAAGAGAAGCATGCCTGGCATTACACTGGAAAAGAAAATCAAACTTAAGTGAAAACATAACTTGACTGCAAGGGCAGTAAGTGATTTTCACTTAATACAATTTCTTAAAATAAGCCACAATGCCCAGCAACAAGAAGTCTTAAAACAAGATTACTTAGTCCACTGATATGGTCGTACTCCACCAGCTATTGGATTTCCATGAAATTTTGTATAGACATTGATGCTTCCCAGAAGATGACTCTGAATGGTTTTGGTGATCCCCTGGCTTTTCGTTTAGCGCCACCATAAGGTTGACCTTTTTGTTTGTTTTAAGGGAGATGTTTTGCCAACTACAGGATGGATTGCCATGCCATTTAGTATCACTATTCATGGTCCCCAGAGGAGGAATCTCAGTGACCCTTTGCCTTTTTCACTTATCCATTGAAACATCTGCTGTATGAATTGGGACAAAATGTGATACAGGCAGTGTATGTGGGATTGAAACAAAGTGAACAACTGTGCCCATGTTCATGATAATGTAGGAATTTACTATTAACAACAGTATGATGTGTTATTAATAGTTTTTGTAGACAAATGGAGGAATAAGCTTTATAACGCTTTAACTGTACACACAATACTATTTAGTAAGTAAATGCATTGTTGCTTTTGGTCTTTCATGGTAATAAGAATATAGAAAATTGCCAGCCTTGTTCTTTAAACTTTGACAGTGTTGTAATCTCTGCATTAGTGACACAAACTACCCATTTAATTGCTAAATTGCAGCAACCATGAAAGGAAAACAAAAAAACAGACATAATGAACAATAAAGCCTTTATTTTTTTGTCTTTCCATAGTTCAAGTTTGTCAGTCCCACCCACTGAAAAGGTGGTAAAATAGAGTGAAGGAGTAAGAGGTAGAGCAAGTGTTCCATTCTCATTGTGATTCGTGTAAAAACTCATTTTTACACACCAAGGGAATGGCCATCCAAAGAAGGCCGACTAAAAAAAAAAAAAAAAATGAAGAAAAAAATAAAAATAAAAACAAAAAACAGCAGCTTCTTTGTGGTGTTGCTAGCTTTCCCTTATTATTCACAATCATAAATACTCCTAACTCACTGACTTTTGATAAAGGTTGCACTACAGTGTAAACCAGAGAGGCGATGAGTGCCGGCCATGAAAAGAGGCATGGCACTCATCATCACTATCGTCACCATCATCACCACCATCATCATCACAGTCTCTGAACACTTGGGAGTAGGGAAACATGCCACATGGCAGGGGCCTCTTACTGCGTGTCTGAGGCGAAGGGGCTCTGCATAGTATGGTCAGACAGAAGAGATAATGGCTGCCCACCGTGGACTGAAAAGAGGCTCTCGGTCCAGCAGTCAAGGAGAGCACGACCTAGGGAAAAATAAATGGGGTCGTCTCCGTATGAAGGAGAGCGCGGAAACCTGAGCGGTGGAGCCTGACAGCACATCAGTCCAAAATAGGTGTACGACAGTCAGCTGGCCCTGTGAGTACAAGTGTTTGTGTGCGCGTGTCACACTGCATTAAAACTAACTAATACCAACCACTCCACCACTCACCAGCACTGCCAAGTTAGGACAGTGCCATGTTACATAAAAAAAAAAAAAGGAGATAGTATTTACATCTTCAACACATAAATTATTTCCCTAACATACTGTCTGTGTAATGCATATAATAAGGAATCCGGGAAAAAAAATAAACATAAATGCCTCATATGAGAAGGCTATGCTGACTGCAAAAATGAGAAAGGTAGACCAAAGGGAGAAAAGATAAGTTTAAATGCTGCTGTAATAAAATCAAATGCAGGCCTGAACAAGTCTAAAAAAAAAAGAAAAAAGAAAAAAAAACACAATTAATGCAGTAATTCATGAGAACGATTTGCAAAATGGCACACAGAAAGAGATAAAGCTGTGAGCTTGATTAGGCAACCCCTGAATACTTCCAGGTAGTAACAATGGCAGCACTGGAGCCGACTCGTTAATACCGGAGAACGAAGAAGAGTACGGAGGGGTCAGCTCGGATCGATATCAGTTCAGATGATACTGGACGCTTTACATTCCTGCCATTCACCGCCAAGAGATCTAGGAATGACTTGCAACTCCTCCCTGTCCAGAATGTGACCTTTGACATGTTTTTTTTTTTTTTTTGTTTTTTTTTTTCTACATGTTTTGTCTTGGCTCTGGAGCTTTCCACAGCCCGGCCCCGCGACAACTGCAGCCCCCGCATTGACCAATCACCTCAGGGCAGAGGCAGGTCGAACAGTTCACCTGATGCAATCTGACAAATAAGGCCCAAGTCCGGTAAAATTCACACTTGATGATATACAGTATCAAAACTCTGTATAATGAGAAAACATACAAACGCATATGCAAATATAGCTTTCAGTACACAACAACATACAACATTAACTGTTGGTTTTGCAGATGAAATTCAAAGTATTCATACAATATGTGTCACAAAGAAATAATGGCTGGCTCTGTCTGTTATGAAGAGAGAGAGAGATAAAAGGGGCAGTGGGGCAAAAACAAAAGAAAAGCAAGACAAAAACAACTAATTGGCTTCAGTTCATATTCGTCATGTTGAATAATTGAACACACAGGAAGCTTGAAGGAGCGAATTAAACCTCTCCAGTTGGGTTTTTGACCGTACAAGTTCATATTACCACCACTATCCCACTCCAGTGCTGCTGTCAGTCTTTGGGTCACCTCCCCACCCCTGTTGTGTGTGGGTGCACAAGAGTCTGTCATTCCAGTGAGTTTAAAAAAAAAAAAAAAAAAAAAAAAAAAAAAAAGAAAAGGTAGGCCATTGGTTTGTTTGCTGAGAGTTCCCCGCCTACCCTGACGGGGAGGAGCCTGGAGGCAGCCCATCAGTCATCCAGGATGACCTTGACAAAACTGGCCACGTCTGTCTCTTTGGAGTCATGCAGGGTGAAAAATGGATGTTGCTGCGACAAAATAACAAAAAAAAAAAAAAAAAAAAAACATAGTTAGATATATGTTACTGAATAACAAATGCATGTTTAAACAATGTCTGTGTTGTTATTTACTGGAAATACACACATCATCACATTGGTGGGTTAATTGGCTAAGCCTGGCCTCTTGTGGACAAAAGCATGAACCAAAGCACACTCAATGTTACTGCAGGGATGGTTTCAGTATAATATTTTTTGGTGGCTTTTGGGTATGGACAAAACATTTAAAAACTACCAACCATTAATTCTGTATAAGCTGGTCTCTCATTTGGCTTCTTTCTTAAGCTGTGAAAATGAAGGGATGAATGAAAACGTGATAAAGACAGCAAACAGCAATCAAAATAAATGTGTTACAACTTCATTTTAAAAAACTCTTCTAAAATTAGTCAAGTGACATAAACATCATCTAACATCAAGTTGGAGCTCCACAGATACTGTACTTGTGCCAACTCTCTCTGTAAACACAGCGCAAACACTGACCCCTGCTGGGCCTTAGTGGCACCATTTTTTATTTTATTTTTCCACAACAAGGTGAGTGAGGAGCGTAAGGCTGAGGTAAGTCTACACGTTTGTCATCGAGTGTGAGGCTCACCACTGGGAGATGAAGTCTACAAACTCTGGGGAGAAACGGTCGGCAGGCAGCTGTGGAGATGGCTCGTCCACCACCTGTTTGAGCTGCTGGAAGGGGGTGCCCCATGATTCATAGGGGAATTTCAAAATGGCCAGCTCGATCTAGGTGACAGGGGAAGGCAGATTGAACAAGAACCATACATGTTAGAGCTACTATTCACAACAGCATATTATGATTTTGCTCACGGCTCAGTATTGTATTATTGTACATTTTATGCTTATTTGTATTTCATGAAACAATTTTTCAAACTCAGAGCCTTCTCAGGTTTCAACAGTGTGAAATTATTCCTTCAGGTGAGAGGAAATAGAGAAAAATAAGATATAAGTGTTGTTCCATTGTGTCTGTTTTGTAAGCCATGTTTATTATGGAGGCCATTGTGGACTACTAAGGATCTGACATATCAAAATTATCAAAAGGTCATTAGTTCTGGGTTGTGTTTGGAAATAGGAGTTAGATGTAATGGGAACTCTTTTGATTTATCATATATTTAACCAACTGTACAACTTATGACAAAGTATACTTTTTTGGGAGGACAGACTGAAATGGAGCCTTAGTTTACTAAGAGCATTATCAATGTCAAACAAAACAAGGTGCTCAGAGCTGAATGGAAGAAGCTCCACTTTCACTGTCATATAATCATATATCATACAATATCATAATAAATAATAAATAATAATAATAATAATAATAAATGATTAAAAATTGCATTGTTTTAAATGTGAGCAGAACCAAGAGTTTGATATCCATTCCTACTCACCATCGTAATACCAAGACTCCATATATCTGACTTGACACTGTAGCCTTGCTGGTTGAGGTCAGGGTTGATCCGCTCGGGCTGAAATGGGAATTATTAGCAACAGTTAAGTACCACTACTATCTGAAAATAATGTGAACAATAAGAGCTACAACTATACTGTACATTTAAGAAACAAGGTTTGCTTTACAAACATTTTTGAACATAAAGAAAAAAGAAGGACTTATAATCAAACAAAATGATGAAATATCAGACATGCATTGAAATCTCAAGAAATAAAAAGGCATCTAAAGACGAGAATAAGTGTAATAAATCTGTAAGCTAAATGTTTCTCTTTTTTTTTTTTTTTTTTGGAGAGGATTTAAAATAATATACTGGTTTTAGCTTACATTCCAGGCAAGATGTTTGAAAGCTTAGGGGTTAAGACAGTAGAGACCTGATGACTATCAGGCTGAGGTCTAGGTTTCAAATGGAGCTTCTGGTCTGTGGATTTCTGGTTCTACTCCAACTAATGAGGAGACCTCAGACATTGACACAGGGAATCCTTCAGTAAATCTCTGGAGAATCTTTTCTGTGAATCTCAGCTAGCTGGTACCAGGAGTCCCCACTTACCGCCATGTAGGGCTTGCAGCCTGCATCCATTGTTTTGGCCACAGAGTCCACCAGGTGGCCACTGATGCCAAAGTCGCACATTTTCACTTGGCCCTGAGTGTTGATGAGGACATTGGAGGGCTTCACATCTACAGAGTTGGGAAAATGATAAGAGAAAGAGAACATAGCAAACCAACAATGAGAAACATCAGGAAAGTAAAAAACTTTATACACTGATGATGTGATCTTCTAATTACCTCTGTGTATCACTGAGAGGTTACTGTGCAGATGCTCTAATGCCTTGACAATCTGTGGAGTGAGTAGAGAAAATGAAGGAAAAAAGTTGAATTCTTCAAGAAATATTCTCATAGATGACATCTCAATGATTACAATATGTGTTTTACATGCACCTTAATACAATTATATGCAAAAAAATACCAACAAAATGAATAGTTTGTTTTATAATGTGCTGATTGTTGAGTTTGGTGCAGCAATTTCCCTGGAGTCTCATATATTTTAAAAAGCAGCACATATCTAAGTAACTAGTGAACACAGCCTCAACATCCTTTCATACCCAAACAGAGATGTAAACATTAATTTGTGGTTTTACGTGATATGTCTATTTCTTATATAGCAATAGTTAATTCATCTGCACCAGAGCATTTCCGGTTAAATTGCTGGTTGCCTGGCAACCTCCAGAAATTCACTGCGCCCAGCTGTTAGAAATAATTGCAGCACAATAAAGACACACATTCCTCTCATCTCGCTCTCAGAAAACAAAGCGAACAAGCGCGGTTTCCCCCAAAATTTGGAAATATTCCTTTAATGTACATGTAAACTCTTTTATAGTGTAAAATATATGATAGGACGTACTGCTACTGTGATCTTGCCCAAGATGTCCTCGGGGATGGTTTTGCCTTTATCAATAACCTTCTTATAGAAATTATCCAGAGATGTGTCCATCAGCTCCATACAGATCCAAACATCCCCCTGACAAAAGATAAAATAAGAAACGATGATCACACACTCAGCGTAACACAGGCAGGAGTGCATGCCAGTCATAAATGTCACTGTTTATTCACCTCTCTGAAGAGGGCGCCATAGAAGGTCACAATAAAGAAGCAGTCCACTGTCCTCATGGAAATGTCCAAGTCCATCAGGAGCCTCTTCTGCTCCAGAGTGTTGACTGTGGCACGAATCCTCTGGGGACACAAACATCACAGATTGGGCTGCCAGTGTCATCAGCGGGGAAGATATAGCTTAAATCAAAATGGTGTCCAGTGTCCTATAACCCTCAATATAACATGTCATAGATGCAATAGATCTATCAATGTTCAAATGTTTACAAGTTGAGCTCATATGTTAAATACATCCATGAGTCATGGTGCTATTTTAAAAAGGTGCGGTGCATTTACAGAGATTCCAAAATCAGGTAACCTGAGCAGCGGCTTGCCAGCCTACCTTGACAGCCATGATAACACCACTGGGCACATGTCTCATCTTGTCCACCACCCCGTAGGCTCCCCTCCCCAGCTCTGCAATCTGCTCCAAGTCATCGGCCTTCACCACAAAGTTCTGGACAGAAGAGGCAGACGGTACATGAACGTATTTATTCAGCTCAGCAAAAAAAAAACCCAACAAGCATTGGAAAAAAATCAGAGGAAAAACTTTACCTGATCTCCAATTGTGACGCAAGCTTTTGAGTCAAGATCTCGAGGGGGCCTGCAGGGAGAGAGCAACGTTGATTAAAGTCGGTGCTAAAACCAATTTTAAATCCAAGTGATCCATGCAAGGACTGACTCTCTTTGAACCCATCTAACACTGATGCTTGTAATTAACAATTGTACCAGGCTGTGGTGCTTAAGTGGAGTGCAGAAACTATACATTTCCCCCAAAATGTTTATTCTTAAATGAAAAGCCAATGCAGTTCCCAAGAATATCCTGACTGATACTGGAATTTTGAAGTAGATCCCGACATCAATTTAGGAAGTATTTAAAACTATAGGAAAATATATCAATATTCTTTTACATAAACGTTTTTTGATTTGGATACCATTCTTTTTTTCTTTGTAAGCATTTGTGGTTGGGATATGTACTGAACAGTACCATTGATAGTTGAAAAAAAAAGGAACTTGCCTGCCTCACACACGTTTTGGTATTTCTGTGCTAGAATTTACTTGTTGGCTCAAATGTACATCAGCACAGATCAGCGCACTGGAATATTAATGGCCTGTGGCTCAGAAGGTAGAGCGGGACGTCCACTAAACAGAAGGTTGGCGGTTCAATTCCTGGGTTAGTGTGAAGTGTCCTCGAGCAAGATACTGAACCCCAAATTGCTCCTGATGCTGTGTATTGGTGTATGAATGAATTCTTTTCCATTTGTGATGGCCTTTGTCATCACTTTATGAATGTGGCATGTAGCATACAGTGCTTTGAGTGGTCACAAGACTATAAAAAGGTGCTATATTAGTACAGTCTATTAAATATTCCAGGATTAAAGCCATACAGAACAACTACCGGACATATGTATTACAACAGCCATATAATAGCCTACATGTAAAACACAAAAGGCTGCGACCTAAATACATAATACTGCGATGAGAACAGAGAGGGAAGAAAGGGAGAGGGAAGATGGAAATAGAGGACAGCAGGATGCAGAGTGATTGTTTCTGACGCTCTCAGCTCAGATGTTACAGTAGTCTCTTCAGCTGACAGCAGAGGAAAAACAAACATTTGCAGAATAGAAGTTTCCACTTAAGTTGTCCTGGCAACAGATCATATATTTTAGACAACATTAGACTATTTAATATGCTGCTAATGAATATATGTAATTATTCGGCATACTTTCCACCAGACATGTTGGCCTTTGATATTTTCATCTGCCCGACAACTACATGTGATACCGGCCAAAGTAAACTCACACAGATATATCTAAGCTAATACCGGGCCGACTTATTGTCCCAGCAGTTTAAGTGTCCTGGCTCTCACTTTGAGATCTTCTTGTGATAGTTTGAAAACACTGTAACAAAAAAAAAAAAAAAGAATTAAAAAAAAAGAAGCCTTACGCTGCTGCAGGTGTGGGCTGCGCAAACACTTCTTTGGCCAGCTTCAGCCCAGGGTTCTTCTTCTTCCCTAAGAGACAAGAAATTAGAAAACCATGACCATCTCAGTTCCAAGATGGATGTACAGCGATCAATAACGCTGTATTTAGCAGCAACCACAAGCGGGTATGATTAGTAGTGTTTTGTGGAAGGACTAAGGCACTCGGAGCCCATTTACCACATTACTCGGAGTTTAGAGCCGAGGTTTACCACAAAAGAGCTCCCAGGTTCTAATTCAGATCATTAAGTGCAAACTAAATGGACTTTTGCTTGTTTTCATGTTTCCACATTGTCCTATTGATAGTGGCTTTTATTTCTATTCTGGTAGTATAGAGTTTTCAAGGTTACAATCAATTTACATTTGCCTCTGACACAAACTATAGATAATGATCTGTTATCTAACAGAGAGATTAGGTGTACTCAAAGCAGAGGCCCTGCAATAGAGAGAAGGTGAACTAAATGACTAATGGACATTGGTATGATGACTCAAATGGAGAGGGAAGGGGAGAAGTGTTCAAGGGAATCAAGCTTTCCTTCCTGTCATGATTTTTTACTGTTACAATCACTGCTACCAAATCATTTATGAATGGGTTTTTTCATGTTTAACTTAAGGTTCACGTGCAAGGATCTTTTACATTTCTTATTCCCTTCATAGCTGAAGTATGGTGCTATGAACTTCAGCTCTAGGACCTTTCTGTGTTAAATCACTGACAGCAGTCCATTCATAAACACAGTTTACCAGCAGCCTCTGGGACTTCCCACAAGGGGCTGCGAGTCCATGCCAGAATGACACAGCTACCAGGCCTACGAGCAACAACACAGGAAAAACAACTTAACTTTTCTTGACATGGACACTCGTGTTCAGCGTGTTTGCGCTTGTTGCAAGGTCGACAGGAAAAATAGAACACTTTTCTTGACCTTTATCTGTGTGTGTGTGCTAGCAGTTGGCCACAATTTTGCCTCACTGGGATATGTTGAGAAACAGTTAAGACCCGGCTGGTTATTTCCTGTTCTTGTCCTGCAGCATACAGGCTGGGGCCAGGCTGTGTAATTATTCCACCCCAGTTCAGAGAAACTGGTTTAAAGTGCAAGCCAGTCACCTTCACTTTGTAACAAATGCAGCAGCTTCTTAGTTAATAAGCAAAAGTTAGCAACCTGTCAGTTTATAAAGGTAGGATTTTAACCGTCTTTATTACTGCGGGGTTGTGTTTGCCATTAAGTGAGTCACACCACTCCAGTGTAGAGGAAGTACGATTGGGTAAACCCCTCCTTGCTAGATCAAGCTGGAAGGGAAGTGAGGTTTTACTAAGATTTTAGATTCTATGGCCTTCCACTGAAACGTCAGACAGGTCCATTTTGTGCTGCGGCCCAAAAATAGGCCTACAGTGTCTGGAAAGACTACAGTAGTCTCATGTGGTAGGGAGAGATTGAAGTGTGATTTACTCACACATGCTCCGTCAAAAATAGACTTTGCATTTCCTCTGCGTGGGATAAAGTATGAGTACTCAAAGCCATCCGATGACCTGACAAATAGGACAAGTTTTTCTTCGTGCAACAAAACTTAGGGCAGCACATCTGACATGTCTGACACGTTTTAAAGCTGTTGGAGATATCTAAATATGCTTTGCTGCTACAAGAAATCTACCAAAACCATACAAAAAACATGCAGATTGTAACACGGTGCATTATAGTTTAAAATTAATTGAGCTAAACATATTTACAGTGAAGCATTAATGGACTCGAAATACAAGCCGATCCCAGGTTGCAGTGTGTGAAGTGACCCTGTAGCCAGGACTGTGGGGTGGGATGTGACTCACAGCCAGTCAGACTGGACACATCCGCTTAAAAAACACAACAACTGTCAGGGACCCTTTGGGAAATATGATGTCACTTCACTTGGCCCACTTGCGGCTTGCTGTCCCCATTAGGGCCAAGTGAGGCCAGCCTTCTGCTGCAAAACCTGCCGAGCCCTCAAACTCAGCCCGATAGGACACAATAGTGTCATGACATCAGCCTCAGCTGCAGTCAAAGTATATCAAGGCAGCACAGTAAGAAATACATGTCCACAGAAACCATTTTCTCAGAAACGATCTGAGTAGTAAGTACCTCAAGGGGGGTTGGTGATGCAGGGTAGCAACCCCTGTGTAATTCATGCCGCTGTCAGTAGTATATGATGGAATTAAATAATTATAATAATTACGTGATCTCGCTTTATAACTAGGGATGCACAACATTAATTAAAAAAAAGAAATGGACAATAAAATAAGTGATAACTTCACACTTTCGTATTTTAAAAACACATTCATAACCTGTAGTTAATTGTAAGAAAGGCTAAGACACATTTACCATTATTGGTGTAGATAATGATCATGCATTAATTTTTATAATCAAATATGGTATAAGTTGCATTCTGCATTTTTTTTAAAAAGAACTGGGAAGATGTTTATTAACCTAAAGCATTTCTCATTTTAAGTATTAACCATGGTGTCTCTTAATAAAAAAATCTACATTTTTGCTGATGCTGTGTTTGATGTTTGAATGATGTGGTTGTGTATCAACTACTAAAGACAGCAGCAGTGAATTGGTGCAGTTTTACAGGAAATGCTGCAATTCTAAGAAAACCAAAGATGTTTTGTGGAAATTATCCAGAGTGCAGTAACACATACGTAATGTGAACAAGAATTTCTGGATTGTGCATGGGATCAAAGTGCCAATAGCTGTGTGGCGAGTCACCATCAGAAAGGCTCCAGCCTCAGAGTGGGTCCATATACAGAAAAAGGATGACTCATGCGCATATAATCTTCCACACCACCCTATCAGTGCTGTTAGGGAGAACCCAATCTCCAAACGTGCCTCAGCAATACGCAGAAACAGCACTGCAATGCACTTAGGCTCTTTGACCACCAAAGGCACAACTCCATACAGTGGCCAGAAGTAGAAGAAAATAAAAACAAACACTTTCACAAAAGACACCTCGGGCCTGCTTTGGTACACACAATAACTGCAGCACAGAACCTGTGTAGCAGCTATACAGTCCCTGCTTGCAGCCAGTGAACTGTCAACAAAGAGTGGCTGCACTAGGTATTGGTGGTGCAAGTCAAAACATGCCATGGTAGGCCAAAGGCTGTGATTGCCTGAGCCAATCTACACAGCCCTCTCAAAACAGTGTGTACTCCCGACCATGGTAACGCTAGTATGATTGTGTAACAGCACAAGCGGTGAACTTGAAATGTAAATTGACATCATCATGGTCTCTCTCTCTATGCGTGTGTGTGTGTGTGTGTGTGTGTGTGTGTGTGTGTGTGACGCAGAGGAAGGACCTTGATTTTTCCAAAGGTGTGTATTTTATTCAACAGTGTGTACAGTAATTATTACACAGCACTCACTCACTGACTGACTGACTGACTGACGGAAGCCTATAGTGTGTGATAGCGCGCTGGTTCCTTTGGCATAGCCGCCTGTTTTTAAAATAAAGAATTTCCTACTCTGATTTATAATAATAATAATAATAATAATAATATTTTCAAGGAAGCTGGGCCACTATTTTTGCGCTAACATACAGACCAAAAAGTAGCCGACACAATCGATCAGTCATGAGTCAGGAGGCCGAAAAATACAAACACCTGTGGTCCCGATGTGATTTACTTTAACCCAAAAAAGGAGAAACTAACCCCAGCGCGGTGATTTCCAACTGAGGGGCAAGTTGGTTAATAATTACAGCTTGGCAAGAGTCCTTTTATTGTCGCGAAAAATGTGTTAGCTAAACACAACACGGGAACTTAAAAAGGAAGCGATGCGCGCGTACCATGAAGCTAAAATATGAACATTAAAACACATTTAGCCCGCTACCAGTAGGTGTACGGTTAATACTTTCAGACACCGGGATGTCTAGAGACTTCGCATAATGATAGAAAGCAGGAAAGACATGCTGGCTAGCTTCTTTTTTTCTCCTCCTCCTCTCATACATGCAGCTTTCCACCTGGCAAGGTTACGTTTCTCAAACATAGCTAGCAAAATTACTTCACCGCAAACTGCACCTCGATATTTAAAATATGTGCACGGTTGTTTTCGAAATGAGTGGAAAAAAACCCACTTACCTCCTTTAGACAGAGACATTTCCCCTTTGCTTTGATGAGGGGGAAGGGAAGCACAAAGACTTTTGCCTTTTTTTACTCCCTCCCTCCCTGCATCTAGCCTTACACCCGCTCAGGATCGCTGGTTTGTGCAAAACTAGCAGCGTTTAAAACTAAATGGTTCGTCCTCGTGCAACCTCGGTGCTTCAAACAGCAGCTCACGCGCTCACACGCTCACGGATCGATTAGCGGATGAATGCACAACTTTAACTAAAGTCGGCGCGGCTCGTACAGTTCGAGTTAGTTTGCTAACAAAACCTGCACTTTTAGGGTGGCCAAAGTCTGACAGCTGAAGGCTTCAGCGACGTAATGACGTACTTCCTGCCTGGTGCTAAGCATCATGGGATTTGCTGTTTGCTGTATCTCCTCAATTTTCCATCATTCACTCACGCAACTCATCAAGAATAATAACCCACAGTAAAATCATACGTTAATTTAGCCACATATTACAGGGCACCACAGACAGATGTTTTTATATTACTGTCTTTATTTATTTATTTGTGTGTGTGTGTGTGTGTGTGTGTGTGAAAATCACATACTTGTGTCTTTAAAAGTTGGATATAATCCATGCGTAGCAATAAATAAGAGAAAAAACAATTGCAGTCAACACTGTCTTGCAAGTAACCTACAGTATACAAAGGAACACTGATCATGGGATTGCACTTTTTTTTTTTTTACACATTCTGGTATGTAAACAACAAACATGTATAGGTGTATGTCAAAGGATATAAGTGCACTGAACTAAAAATCTATATTTGCTGAATAGTGAAATGCATAAAATTAATAGCAAGAACATTTATTTTAAAGCAAAACATCTACAGTAGCCTACCTATGCAAACAACATTAACCATCACGTAGATTTAATAAATTCAAGGAACAAACTGCTGGACTATAAAATACCTGAACAAATACAACACAGTGAAGTGTTTTTTTTGTTTGTTTTTCTTAGTATGAATGAAAACCCTCATTATTGTGATAATCCCTGCTGAGCTGTTTAATTGTGAGTCCTTTTTTGTACCCAACACCTCTTGTTAAATAGCTGGAAGACAACACAATGCACAAACTACTCAACAGTGGAGATGTCACAGACTTGATGCATGAACATGTTTTGTGATATGAGTTTACTTATGTGCATGTGATTGTGTGTTGGAGGGTGGATGACTGATGGTGAGGCCACACCAACTTCCTGTCTTTACTTCCTGGCAACAAGGAGGGTATGGTAGAGAGGTTTTATCACAATGTGCAGATAGAGGGAGCTGTCAATGAGATACTCTGATGCACGGCGCTGCAGGTCAGCATCCAGCAGGAAATCCCCGGCCTCCTCTGTGCTTTGGTGGAAGTTGTAGACGTGGCGAACCACCACTTTTCCTTGCTGTCTTGCCATCACAATAACCGTCTTCTGGAAACTCACACCGGCAAAGTCTGGGCTAGAAGTGGCTGGTGTCACAATGATGCGAGGTCGACCACCGTCTGTGCGCGTAGGCTGCATGGCACCCAGTTCGGTATAGGTTGACCTGGCACTGAGTGGGAGCCAGCGAGGGGAGAACAGGGCATTCCAGGTCACTCTCTTGCTGGAATCATGGCCGCTGGGACCGAGCTGGGTCTGGAAGCTGAAGCTGCGGTCATCGCGAGTAGGGTTGTTGATGACCCAAGGCGATCCCCAGGAAGAGGACAGGTAGTTACGTGGAGTGAAAATACTGCAGTTGACATCAAAGTACTTGGCCAGTTGGATAGGTGAGGCGGAGTGAAACTGGAAAGCTAGATAGAGTAGATCGCGGATAGACTCGTAATACTTCAGCATGAGGGGGGATTGCTTCTGAAGACGGAAGAGGTGCTGAGGGGGGATCATGCCGTATCGAACAACCCTTAGGGCACTTTCTACTGTTGCACTGACAGGCTGGTTCTGGCTAATCCAGGCCTCCAGGGCCTCGTACAGCTCCAGCTCACTCTGTAGAATGAGGTCAGAGCGCTGGAGCAAGGAGAGGAGCAGGTCTTCACTGATGGAGCCCCATTCTTCGCTCTGCAGCACAGAAGACAGGTTCCAGGACAGGTACTGCAGGCAGCTGTCCCGCAGGGCCACGTCCCCAATTTGTAGTGCATAGTTGTACCAGCCGACTACATGGCCTGTGGATGAATCACTAGACAGATGTTGGGACATATATTGGGTCAGACCCTGTTGCAAGCCCCACACGTGGTACTTGCTGGCCAATTTGTGCAGAGATATGGCCTGATCCAGGCGCACTGAGATGTCACCGCAGTACAGATACCTGCAAGAGTAAGTAAAGTCAGTAAAGCATACGATTTTTTTGAAGCTTGTTTTCTCTCCTCACATCTGAGTCACTGAATAAACCCACACTGTCCGATTTCTGACTGTGAGCCGAAAACAGCAGATGTAATTTTAGAATATTTCACAAGATGGAGCATCTCACTCCTCCAAAGGAGAGAGGCAAAATGGTGAGTGAAGACCTATAACTTTATACTAGTGGAAAATACAATAGCATCTACAAGTAGCTCCACAGTTTCTTGAGGGGTTACATTTGATTGAACCGGGTGAACTTTGAACAAATGATAACAATCTGAGTCACCCTCACCTGACAAATTTGTCAAAGACAGCTGCACAGTCGGGCGTTTCCCTCAAAACCACAGCGCTGTTGTTCCGGCTGAGCAGCAGTTCCTCAAACACGTCACTCTGCATTGTGAGAACCAGGCTGTGGGCCTGGATCACCTTTACCTCGTCCGTGTTGATGGTCTGCACCCGGAGAGTGACATCACTGCCATTGCCCAGGGCCAGCAGGGTCTCCATACGCTGCACCAAACTCATGGAGTGATTCAGCACCGTGGCCCCATTGTCCAATGCCACGTCCTGCTTCAGGGCAGCTGTGGAGAAAATAGTGCAAGATGATGGATAGGCAGCACTTAACTGAAACACAATCACTAAATGCAGAAGAAATTTGCTTTGGAATTGCAGTTACATTATCAACCTTTTGCGAGATTGCTTAAATTCACCTCTAAATTTGAAAAGTACCATACATTCTTTCTTATTTCTTGTTAATCACCATAATCGGCATCAACTCTGACTCTGAGGATTTCACAGCAGAATTCATTTGCATTTGTTCTACAACTTAAAACAGATTTTACTCAGCAGGAACTGGAAAAGCACTCCCTAACTCTTCGAATAAGCCGCAATGTGTCAGGAAAAAGCAGACTTGCACATCCTTCTATTCTTCTGGTTTTTAATGAATAGAGAAAGAGAGTGACAAGCCAGGTGGCTGACTCAGAAAACCTCCGGTACCAGGTGCTCAGAAAGAATCCTGAGTTTGCAGCGCCATTGCAGATGGTTGCTTCTATGACTTCTATGCCCTCTTGTGCATAAGTACAAGTGGCGCATACTGGAGAATCACACATGAAAGACTCAGCGTGAGAAGCTACTGTTTCCATTCTGCTCTGCCACAGCCATCAGTGGCCTATTACTGGGGGTTTAATGAGACACAGGGGGAGCACACTTGGCTCCCTGGAATGCCTCGCAGTCTTCATATCTTTACCACAATCAAGCACCCCCACTTCAAAGTAACCTTTTTCCAATTAGCCAGCCAGCACCCTGAGCCAGCTGAGCATGGTGAAGCATTAGAGGGAGTGTTTTGACAAATTATTCTGGCACAGCATAACAAATTGAAAAATCACCATATTCATTATAACTGGGGAAACAGTACATACTATCTGTTACATTAACAAAAATGTGACAGATTCAATTCACCCAAAATGTGACCCCAAAAAAAGTTATGAATAAAGAATGTTTAGTGTCTCTTCCACTCAAGCTGAGAAGAGCTGAAAACATTAAATAAAACATTTAATACACAGTCCCTAAATATAAGATTAGATGAGTGCTCACGAGGAATTTCAAATGAAATCTAACCTGACAGCACAGGAATGTGGCCCTCAGTAGCTTTGGTCAAAATCAGTCAGATCAGATCTTTTAAGGAGTAAGAAAATCCTTCCTTCTCGTACTGTACTGTACTGAGCCGGCACAAAGCCAGGCAGCAAATGGACTTGCCTTGTCTTTCTCTGCACCCAGCAGACAAATAGATGAGGACAGGATGAGTAGAATAGATAAATACCCGTCCCCTGCCCCGAGGCTGAGCGCGAGCCACACATTCATGCTGTGCCCTACCATCCACTGACAGTATGGGGGAAGCTGGACTAAAATAGAACAATACAGCTTCTCTTACAGTGTAGGATATGAAAGAAAAGGTGCAAAAGTGACCTGACTCTTTGCAAGCAAACAATTCAAACTACTGATTTGTTATCTTACCTCCTCTAACTGTGACAGAGTGGAAGTGGATAAAGAGGATCAAGGTGCCCACATAGACCCAGGCAGGGATCCCTTGTTCACATGAGCGTACCATTTCTTCTCAGTTATTCCCTGCCTCTCTTTCCTTTGTCCTTTCCCCCTCTCTTCCTCACTCTGTGCCACTCTTCTCCTGACTCTTCTTCTTCTTGCTGCTGTGCCTTTGTTGTGTGCGAGCAGAAAGGTGTGTTGCCCCGTGTGTGTCGCCCGGCTCCCTGTCCCGCACTCTTTATGTAGGACGCTGGCCTTTCCCTGGCGCATCTCGCAACCCCACGGGCTCCATTGATTGGTGGAATCTGGCAGGGGCGTTGCTATAGCGACAGCTTTGATTTTGAATTTCTCCCTTTTGGATGTTACATGGCATTGATCAGCGGCACCGGGCCAGCCAAGGACTCAGCTTAATGGTTTTTGTTAGGGTTTTTTTTTGTTTGTTTTAAAGTCAGAGGAGTTAGGCACTATTAACAATCAATATTAACACAGTTTCATGTTTTAATGGCACTCAGAATGCAGCAGATCACTGGACTGCAACATTTTGTTTATAATATCTAAATTAGATACAATCAGTGCCATATAATTAGTCAATTAATTACAGTAGGTTGCCACTGAGACTATCTGCCAAAAGTAATTGAAGTTCTAATATGTGTGTCCAAATGCAGTCAATCAAATTTCATAATCCATTTTGTTGGACAGTTTTTCAGCTGAGAGCAATTACTTCTCTGATGGCATGTTAATCTCCCTAATGGGAAGATAATTCCATTGGTGCGGACTCTGCTCATCAATCTAAGGCGAGCTCTGTTTATTAAATTCAACTGCCAATCAGGACTTTGTGTAGTCACATTACTGATGAATATCTTTTAGTTATCCATGTAAAGCTTGCGAAATTGTCCCATTGTGGATATGGCGCTAATGGTCTGCCGCTTGCAGGAAACATACTATGATAATCAATACGAAATGCTGTCACGGCTCAAAGTGAACAGTCACATGACAATCACACATTAACATACATAGTACATTTCAATGTGAAATGGCAGCAATGGTGGCACATAATACACAATGCATTCATGACCTCTGGGCTCACAAATATGTTTACAGTGCCATTTATATGATCCCTCAGTTAGCATCGATCTGTCAGTCTGGGGTGGGTCAGTCAATACTGAGATCCCAGTTAAAATTTCCCCAAAAGATAAGCTCAGTATGGATCTGATTTTGTGTTTTTTTAAATCATTGCATCTGACTAGGCCATTAGTCCAATCACAATATTTATACTAACATGCTGCTATGTGACAAATATGTTTTAAATAGCTCAAAATCTGCCATGCCCACTACAGAGAGACAGACAAGGAAAGACATCATTTCAGAGGGAATTGGGTTGTGGTGAAGCCCCGAGGGCTGCCAGGCTGCAGTAAAAATGCAGGAGAAGAGACGTCCTTCGAGACCCCAACCTAAGCCACTGCTATGAATAACCTGACAGGTTCTCATAGGAGAGCGGTGCTGCTGAGATGCCCTAATGATGCCTGCTGCAACAAACTGGACGAGACAACCTAGTTGAGGCAGCATCTTCTATTTTATTTTTTTTTATTTTTTTACTTTTTGCTGGTGGATACACAAATAAGATTCACGAGCTTTATATGAATGCAATAAACCTATGTGGATGCAAATACTGAGACTTGTGTTAACTTTTTGCTCTACCTAACACTGTATTCCTATATATATCATATTGGTTTATAGCTTAAAGTATAGCTGTATACTAAAACACAATTCAGGCAACTATTGTTTAGCTACACATTGAAAGCAGAGCCCTCTTAATGCATCGGAAAAGGGCATGCCCTTCATTAAGGTCACATTGCTTTCTCCTTTGAGATCAGCTCCTATTAAGAATCTGCTCACAGGACCACAATGCAAAGGGACGGATCGACGAGCAGCTAGATTTGTGAGAGCACCCCTCGGGACGAGATCCATAGAGGGATCGATGCACCACAGGGGGCTCCATCACGCAGTATAAACAGTATGTTTAGTACAGGCTGAATGCCAGAGTTAGCTTCAGCAAGGTGTCCTGGATGACCTTACTCTTGTGCTGGACCCGGAGGGGATGCTCTAGCTATTCAGTTCGCCGAACCATGACACAAAGTGGCTTTTGATATAAACACACATTTTATTTGTCGAATGCATCAAGTGGCCATGAATAAAACAAACACAAAAGGAAAAAAAAAATTAAAAAAAATATGACATTTTCACACATCTCACTACTTAGGCACTAAATTCAGTTTAGCGTCTGTATTATTAGGCCTTTTTGATTTCATTGTGACACTTTCACAACTAAAGGAGAACGAGAGATTAGTTTTGTGACTTTAAACTATACATACAAACAAACAGACAGAAAGAGGAAGATCAAGTGTAAATAAATATACTCCTAAGAGACTTTATTCTGCTCTTATACTGTATTCTAATATATTCTCTGATCTGACAGAATGCTGCAGTAACTAAAAAGTTAGTTAGCAGTGTATGACATTTAATACATATTTTTATTGGCACAACAACAAAAAAGTACTGACAATGTTTACAATGTTACATGTACCACACGTGTTACAATTGAAAAAAAACATTGTTCATCAATATTTCTCAAGTTAACTGAGCATTTCAAATCTTAAAATCAATGGCATCTGTCAATATTCCAATTAATCAAATGGTTGTTAAGTGTTTCGGCCTTCGACAGATCAATAACAAGATCTATTTGGTTGTGTAATCTGTTGTGAAGAGTCCATCTCTCCTGTAACAATATTTTCCACCAGGTGGCTCTGCAAACTGGATACACACTCTCCTCTCTGATGCTGACTATTCTGAAGTGCTTATAGCTTTAATAGAAAACACAGACTCTGATTGACTGTATGATCATATATCTCAGCCTGTAAGTGTTTATGTATTAAGTATTAATTTATCTAGTGTGCGTGCACTACATGGCATTTATTAGAGTCGAATACTTCTCAAATTAACCTTTATGCAGACCTTTTTTTTTTCGTCTGTTAAACAGAAAGTGGGCCAACTTAAAAGGTGAACTGCTGTATTTGCAGCAGCTGATCATTTTATAAGAAATCACCTGCAGGAGACTAATCAGAAAACCGATCTGATTACTAACCCCGTGAAAGCCATTAATCATCAACCACCAATGCGTTTGAAATGAAAGTCTCTGCATGTTAAACAGGTCACAGACCATGTTACATATAAAGGCCTACAAGCGGAAACTTCTCACTTGAGAGGTGAGTGGTCCCTTTGTTTGGATGTAAGCTGCCTGAAACAAATAAGCAGGCTGGATGTTAATCTCACAGAATATGCAAAGCTGCACACCATAGAGGTTGGGTTAAGAGACAGAGGGGATAGAGAGACTGTCTCTTCACGGAGTTATAGTAACCGTAACTGCTCTGATGCGACTGCCGGTGAGTCCATTATAACATGGTTGACCAGAGAAGGAGTGGGCAGATGGAGGACTGTCCATGATCACCGCCCGGACTGACTCGTGGATCCATTAAGTGAATATCTGGATGCTTTGGAAATCGGCCGAATCATCTGTCAGGAGCCTGATAATAGTCGAAACAACAACTAATATTACAGGGCAAGGCAAAGTTTTGTGTTTTTTCTAAGGTGGGTTAATCTCACCTGTTGGAGCTGTGTATCACTGTCATCAGTCCGGGTAAGAAGTCACTACAGGCTGTAATATTACTCTAACTAATGTTTTAAAATCATATTCAGCCATATACTATTAACGTGCTTATGTAAAACTGATGATAACGATTATAGCCTCGGGCCTTTTGCCTCATTTAATTTGAAGATTGTATTCAACTTCAGAAAGTTAAATACAATCTTACAATTAGATCAAACTGTATTTGATCACCGAATGACTCCAATATATGGGAATACTGGGAATACTCATTATGTCTCCTGTTAAAATGTTAAAATGATGTCAAGATGCAAATTAGATGGTGTAGCAATACGGCTAGACTGCGCTGGGATTATAACATGACTCCATGCTGTAATTAAAGACAGGGGAGACAATTTGTTTGGATTCTTCAGAGACTCAAATGTATTTCAACGGGAAGCAATTTTAGGTTAACAAAGTATGACAGTACAGTGTGTGAATGGTTTATAATATATATATGTATATATATACATACTCGCTGGGCGACAGTAGTATATGTGTACCACTACTATATACTATATATATTGCAAAGTCAATTGTTGGTCTTTGCATTCCTCTTTTAATGATGCAAATAATATAGCGTGTAACTATAGTATCTGCATGAATGCTTAAATAATCAGGGTATTTTTTAAACCTACAGTGAAGCCATGGCCAGTGCTCCAAAAGGATGTGGTCCCACTATCAGCTCCATATATTACAACCTGTGTGACCTGACTACAGTGTGGGGGGTCGTGGTGGAGGCCGTTGCTGCTGCCGGTGTGGTAACTTCCTTTCTCCTGTTCATCATTCTCATGGCCTCGCTGCCATTTGTAACAGACAAGAAGAGAAAAGGTATGGTGGCCCTGCAGGCGGGCATTCTGATCTTTACTCTGGGACTCTTTGGACTTTCTTTTGCCTTCATTGTGGGCCGGTACTCCACTAGCTGTGCAGCACGGAGGTTCCTCTTTGGAGTACTGTTTGCAGGCTGTCTAGCCTGCCTAGCAATGCATGGGTTGTGGCTCGCTCTGCTGCAGCGGCGAGGCCGGGGGCCCAGGAGCTGGATGTTATGCCTGGGAGCCATGGGTCTGTGGCTGGTTGAGGTGATCATCAACACAGAGTGGCTTATCATCACTATGGTCGGGAGCCCACCCAGAGATGTCATTATCCCTGACCTGTCCTGCAACATTGCTAACCTGGACTTTGTGATGTCTCTGATCTATGTGATGGTCCTGTTGCTAGCTGTGGTGCTGATGCCTGTGCCCTCACTGACACACAAGCACAAGCAGTGGCGCCGAGATGGAGCTTTCATCCTGGTCACAGGGCTCCTCACCTTGGCTATCTGGGTAGCTTGGGTTGTCATGTACATATATGGGAACAGAGCGGCTGGGAATGACACCTGGGACGACCCTACTCTGGCTGTAGCTGTGGTGTCAAACGCCTGGGTATTCCTATGCCTCTACACCATCCCAGAGATCTGCTTACTGACCCAGAAGGACCCAGATCAGGAAGAGCCACATGATGGAGATGTTTATCCCGCCAGGAGCATGGTATATGACAACATCCTGAAGGAGCTGGAGCCACCCCACCAGAACGTGTACATGGAGAATAAGGCCTTTTCTATGGATGAGCCTCCAGCAGGTACAGCATGACACATCATGGTCTTACATGGTCTCACTGCGCTCAGCCACATTATGTCTAGATCGGTGCTTAATCCTCAGAATCAGAAATCTAAATCAGCAGAACAGTCACACCAATTAAATGATTTATTTGTGCTCATACGATTCCAACCAAGCACAGGTGAGCTATATGACATAATGAGGCGCTACAGTGTAATGGGAGGTACCATTACTGTTTCCTCTAGTGGCAAAGGAAAAGATTGTGACATAATACTTACTATAATAATTACTGCTATTTGTTAGTCTCTCTGTTTGTTAGAATAACAACTTGCAGCATGTTCACTGTAATTATTTGTCAGTATAACCATTGTCATTGTTCCATCCTCTTATACAGTTTTTGTCAAAATGGAGGAATATTTTTAATTTACAGTCTTTGTTCAGTTCTTGCATTGCAGGGCCAAAGCACAAAATTATGGACTCTGTGGATAGACCCCTCCCCACATCCAGAGCTATCCATTCTAGTATCTTTGAAGGCCCTCCTCACACAAGGGCCCAACTCAGTCTCCCTTTTAGAGAACATCTTTACCAGTTTGACAATATGTGTGCAGCATTTAGAAAGAAAACACTGAACATAGAGAACTCAATACAGAAACACTCAGTGTCCCATGGCTGACATGATTTGAGCTAAACATGTAATAGATTTCTTGGTAATCACACTTGAAGCTAAAAGTATGGCCTTGGGAGCTCAGCACACTACAACTTGAGAAAACACATGAAAATAGAGAAAACACAACCAAATGCAGATTGCTTTGCAAGTAGCACAGACAGCTACAGAAACTGTTTCTGGGGGACACTAAAAAAGTGACCCACACGATTGCGAACACCACCGAAAAAACTAACAACTTAGCTAATTTTCCCACATCACTTATGGAAAGCTGACTTCAATATCTTCATGAGTCCCTGGAAACAGTTTCCGTTGCTGTCTGTGCTACTTGCAAAGCTTCAGTATTTGGTTGTGTTTTCTCCATTTGCATGTGTTTTCTCGTGATACACTGTGTTGAGCTCTCTACTTCTAGCTTCAAGTGTGATTACCAAGAAATCTGTTACATGTTTGGCTCAAATCATGTCAGCCATGGGACACTGAAGTGAAAAACAAATGTTTACAAGGAAAAATATGTAAAAACACAAATGATGACAGACGAGGCTTGCGTCATCTTCGCAGATTTGGACTTACAGTTTTCCTCCTACTCTCACTGCTCAATCTCTGTGAAGCTGAAGGGGAACTGTTAATGAACCTAAATGTAGCTTCCACTGTTATTCAACCATTCAGTGTTGAAGTGTGTGAGGGAGATTTCTGGGTGTAAATACTTTATATAACATGCTGTGTACTACTTTGCCTGTTGAATGTGTTGATTTGGATGCTACCTACCGTGCAAAAAACACCCCAAACAAAACCCATTCAGTGGAGCGTGCATCCCAGTCCGTAAAATTAGGACTCCTTCGTGCTTACCTGTTTGACACGCCAGGCCCAAGTCCACATGTATTAGTGTCTGGCAGCGCCCATGGGAATCTACTTATAGGATAAAGCTAAATATGTGCCACTCAGAAACCATGCCTGCCCTCTTTTAGGACAAAAATCTGATCTACTTATTGAAGGTTGTATCCTTGGCCAATATTATGAAGCAGTTACATCAGTTGCTTACTTGGAACTTACTTTACCACATCACAGTTACAAAGTCTTTAAATAATATAATTAGTTCACTTGTTTGCTTGGAAGTGTACCAATAGTACAACTCTTAATATTTTCAATGCTGACAAACAGACACTAATTAGGAAAGAGAAAATAGTGACAGCAAACTTTTTTTGTTGTCAGGTTGGTGAAAAATATAAGAGAAATTAAGTGTCTGAGTATGTCATATTTAAAATAGGAGACACTGCAGTGTGCTTTCAAAATTTTACAATATGCAACTAGCAGATGCAGCAAATATTGATTCCCTTAAATGGTCAGCTTGAGTAAATGTCTGTCTCTTCAAACAATGGCAGATGTCTCAAAATGTGTTTGTGTTTTTCATAAAAAAAAACACCAGCAGCCAACGCTCTTTCTTATTTTCCAATACTTCTCCTTTCTTTTTCTTTTACCAGTACCCACAAAGCCAGTGTCTCCATATGGTGCTTACAATGGTCAGCTACGCAGTTGTGTGTACCAGCCCACTGAAATAGCCCTGATTGCCAAGGGTCTGACTAAGGTGAGTGTACACAGTATTTCACTCACTCACTCACTCACTCACTCACTCACTCACTCACTCACTCACTCACACACACACACACACACACACACACACACACACACACACACACACACACACACACACACACACACACACACACACACACACACACACACACACACACACAGAGAGAGAGAACATTTCCTTATTCTGTTCACATCTAAAATAATCACTTCTTTGTGCGTTTCTAAAGATGGACCCAGGCACGCTGTTCCCTCGAGCCAGAACCCCGTCTTTGAATCCAGGAAGCAGCAGCTCCCTGTCTCGTTCAATCGACTCCTTACCTTCTTAAGGACTGTCACATACAGGCAGCGCGAGTCAAGAGTCACCACTCAACGCTCAGTTGTTAGAGCTATGAAAAAAAAATCCACCAGCGGTTTGTCCTAGTATCAAATGTAACATGTCCCCCTTTCTCTTCCTCAGGAAGATGCTTTAAATAATAACAGTGTTTAAACTACAGCAATAGGCGGTAATGTGACCTAGCTCCTCTCACACACTTCTTATACTTTATTTCTTCTAATGTTCGTGCATTGTTTGTCTGTTTTGTATGCACAAGGGCTGAGTGACACGAATCAAAGGTTGTAAAGACACTGACAATATAGGAGATGGACATCTTATGAAGGCAAATGTATAAACCGCTCAAAAGTTAGGACTCGCCTGCCACAAAAACTTCATTCGGTAGTCAGATGGCTGAGAGCGCTACTCTGTTTTTGAATGGTCTTTCACGCTTTTAAATGGTTTAATAAGAATTTAGGGTCACTTGTGATTTTCAAAATTGAAGGGTATTTGGGGGGAAAATGGTTGCAGCAGTATTCTCCCTTGATGCAACACTGTGAGGGCAACTCCTAAATAGAAGTTTGAATCATTTATTCTCATTTGAGGCTAACACTATTTCAGATGTAAATGACACATCTGGTGTCTGAATAGCCTACTGTTTGTACTGTTAAAAAAGCCAGTATTGAAGAATAAAAACATCAATATAACAGGTGACCCCAAACTTATGAGTGGTAGTTTATGGCCAAAATGATTTTCATATGGAAAGTTTGCGCCTCAGCTCCTCTATTTCATTCCTATCCTCACTTAATGGAAAATAGTGCCCTATCCGTTTTTTTACTGTCAGCTATAAACCAGCTTTACTTTACTGTAACTTCATTCATTGGACAAAAGAAAAGTAAATAACCTGAGATAAAGAGTGGCATTTATGTATCCCTATGGGGAAGCATCTACTTTACATTCTAGCTAAGAGCAAGACCAAAAACTGTTCTGTCTCTACAAATCTAAATCCCAAAGTGGAACACTGTGTAACATTTCCAGGTGACAACTGATTTTCTGTAGGTGGAGAAACAGTAGACAGGAATTAGGTGCAGAGTTTAAAGGTCTATAATGTAACTGTTACAAGTTTTTATTCACAAACATTGAAAATGTGTGTTCTCACTGATGTTTTTCTTGTCATAAAACTGCTGATTTGTTTCTGTTGTTAAACATACTCCGTTCACTTGTGAAATAATGCTGTGGCAGACTTCCTCTGAAAGCCATATGATTTTGTAGTGTCCTGGATTTATAAAAATTCAACTGTATGTAAAAGGTATAAAAAAATGTAACTTATTAAACATATACATGTTACTTAAATCCTGTGCGGCTGTTGGATCACTGTAACAGGTAACACAACTCTCAAGGCGGCACATTTGGGATAATGCAAGAGGAAGTATCACAAGGATCAGCATGTGCAGTACATAGAGCAGTTATTTACATATATTGGCTTGATAAACAGTCTCATACTGTGGTGTAAGCAACTATTTTATGTGGCACCGAGGGATATGGTGGGAATGTCACACTAACCAAACAGTAATATACGATAATAAATCCCTTGTAATTCTCTTCCTAGTTTGAATCTAGGACTGTAACAGTCTTAGTGTGTACACTTATATTTTGAGTTTAGGCATTAACAATATATTTGATGTAGTTTCTGATAAAAATGAATGCAAATAATCACACTATGAATGAACGTGGTTTAATTACTGAAAAAAACTAAGTTTTAAAATGCTACTGAGGGTATATGGTTTTTAAATAAACATACTGTATATTCAAAACATTATCATGGAAACACAAATTAGCATTGACAACTGCTTTGACTTATGAGCTCTTCCTTTTCTCTACAGGGAGAGGAACAATTACTCACATATAATTTGTCACACACACTCACACACACTTTAAGAGCTTCAGAATGAGCTGCGGCTGCCTAGCAGCAGGCTGAGTAGGCTCTCTCCCAATTACTCCCACCATCCTGTACTGTCAGCAGCCATGAGTACTTGCTCAGAGACGAAATTGCTCACCAACTGGAAATCAGACACATCAGAAAAGAACATGTGCTTGTGCCTGCACCCTTTAATCTCCTGCATGAAGGTGCAAAGACCAGTGGTCTTGTCAAACAACCTGATCACAACAGGACTAATCCAAATTTAAATTTAAACAAAAGAAGGAGTAGAGACATTTGATATAACATTCTATTTGCATTTCCCAACAATGTCCGACTCTTTACTTTGTCAGTCTAATGTCACTGACCTGGTTAGCTTTAGATTAATACATTAGACATGAATTCCTCATCAACAGTGACTTGAGCTGACATAAATAAAAAAAAAGCATCTTTCTCTGACAGGCAGCAACTGTAATCCCCTGATAATATGAATAGCTGTCTTGTGCACATGGACACGGGTGGTTACATGACCAGTAGTGGTTGAGCCTGGCTCAAAGGAGTCAGCACTACCAATCACAAGCAGCTGTTCCCACTTAATGCATTTCCTTGTCACTGTGACAACCCTCAGAGGACAAACATGGACGTAGGAAAAAAAAAAAAAGCTGATCAAACAGAAATCAGTGTAAGCACCGACCAGACAACAGGGATTTAATATTAATAGGTAATAGGATCTAGTGATATCATTCACTATATCACAAATATATGAATATAATGTTTGCTTTTAGATCTACGATGCTTTGAAAGAACAACAAAACATCTCTGAACTTGTACAGTTTGTCCCAGAGGCCAATATTTAAACAAAGGCCTTGTTCATGGGGGTAAACCTTTAACGGATTACAAAAGTAAATAGCTGTGCCAGGCTCTAATAAGTGATCTGAAAAAAAGCTGATGTGATTTATTTGTCCCAGGATTCAGGCTCTCAGAGAGGTACATGAGAAAACAAGGGACAGCTTTTATAGTTAATTTCCCCCACATTTTTAGAATGTATTCCTATAAGTGAGGTCCAAAATTATTTCTTGCGCTTGGCAACCGCAGCTGAGAAAAACTATCATGCAATCTTCAAGGGTTGACCGTGTTACCTGCTGAAAGCTCCGCGACAGCTGGCGAATATACCTGGTGGTAAGACTTGTTTCTCAACAGCAGGAATTAACTTTGAACCTCATCTTTTTAAGACAATATGGACGAGAAGTCCTTAAAGTGCTCTGTATATCTATATGGTATTGTTGACTACAACCATACGTTCACATATATAATATTGCATGTTGTGCCACAAAAAAGAAAAATGTTTTGCTTTACAAAAAGTCGAAAATAATTCAGTTCACTCCCCATACAAACAATATGAAACCAGCTTTCTACTGGAGGACTGCCATCTAGTGGGTCCACAGCAAACAATCAAAGGTTTATCCTTGATGATTTTATTGTCTACCATATCACAAATGTTACCCTAAACGATGAACACAGCGTAAATGAACACTTGCCAGTAAACATCCAACACAGTTACAGGGTGACAAATCAACAGAAGTCACCTGTCTGGATGTGTTTAGCCGTCATCAGTTTGTCCTTTGTATTCAGATTTAAACAGGCATTAATAATAGTGCATGTCTTGTTCTCTTTTGAGCTAAATGTGATATTGAGAGTGGCAGTGGGAATGCTGATAGTAACTTATCTCATACTGTGGCCTGTGGATGCAAATGTTTGCTACTTTCCCTGACAGTTAGCTACACTGTGGTAAGCTCCCTCGCTGGAATATTCCATAGTTACATAATACAGTCCGTCTGCTCGTGGTTATCTTACAATAGGAACTGCCCTGCTGACTTTCTTTGACACAAAACGTCACTGAAGGCTTTTGAGTTTTTCCAGACCGGCAGTCCTGGCCTCGTTCTGCAGCTGTTTCTGTTTCTTAAGATGACGGTAGGCCTCCACCGCTCGCACCCTCTCCTCCTCCATTATTCTCTGTCTGGCCATGGAGGGCTTGGTTGTGGAAGCCACGGTGTGGCCGAGGAGAGAGTTGAGAAGCAGGTTCTTTGATCCCTTTTGGATGACGCAGGTGGAAGAGAAAAAAAAAAAAACTCAGTTAACCTCTTACTCAACTATTAAAATAACCAAAATGACATGGGATAACTGCATAGCAAGTTACCTGAGATTTGCCCGGAGCTTTCCTGGGTTTGAAACTCAAAGACGGCGGGGCCATTGAAACTTCACCAAAGGGAACATTATCTACAAAACAAAAACCCATCATATCAGTACACAAACACAAAATATTTTACTCTGTAATCCCTTTGCATTACATGTAATGAGAAAAATAAACATTTTGCAGCTTTTTCATAAGCTTGGCCTGGAGAAAATCAGCTGGTTACTTCTCACTTTGAATTCAGGGCTACACACCAAAAATAAACAAAATTCACTCGCATTAAAGGTAAAATCTGTAGCAATTTTGCTGTAGGGAAACAGCAAGAATTATAGATTTGAAGCTCTCACACATTTTTTGAAAAATAAATGCCTTTTTAGCACAGTGGATCATTGCAAAGGTCTCTTTTTTGATTTCCCCCATCAAATGATCATTAGACAGCTACAGCACATTCAAAAGCTTGTGTCAAAATTATAACAAGAAGTTACTCCTGTTTAAATTAAAACAAATATTATGACTTCCAATTGGCTTTAGAATATATGTTTCTGCAGTGCAATTATAAATCACTGAAAGGCTTAGGGATACTTTTTCTGATAAACCTGGAGAATATAATCCTGGTGGGTTCCTTAGATTTTTTCAGGAAGTATCAGCTTCTAGACAACTAGTTTGATCAGTGCATGTTTATAATGAAATAAGAGGAAATACCTCCTCCCTCACATCCTTCAGTGGCAAATGTTCCTGAATAAATATGCTTTCATTACCAACAAACATCTCTTTTTCCAACATGTCCTCCTGTCTGTCCAACTTCTTCAGTTGCAGTCTCTGTAATCTGCCTTTATCATACCTGTAGCAAGACAACAAAGATCGAACCGATTAGCTATGTGTCATCAAGGACTCGGTTGGCCCCACATCGACACAAACACTGGGAGAAACAGCTGTATACTCACTCTTTCTTTTTCTCAGACTTGCCCTTGTCTGCAGGCTTCTCTTGTTCATCTATATCCAGCTCAGGCTTTCTGTCTACCTGGTTCTTGGTGAGGAAGAGGACGTGATTTGTCTCATTCTCCATGCGCCGTACGTATGCTTTCTCACTTTCCTGCTTTCTCCTCTTGAAATGTGGGACAGGTATGTCTCCATCCTGGGAGTCCTCTGGTTTACCTTTAGGGGGAATGACTGTAGAGACAAAGACACAACTTCCTCATTGGTTATAAACAAACCCATGGCCTTTTTAAAATTGCTTTTAATGTTGAGCTTAGTCTGATGTGTTTTTAATGTTTTACTATTTGATGTTGTTTTGCTGCTTTTATGTTTTTATGTAAAGTGTCTTTGAGTATTTAGAAAAACGCTTATAAATAAAATGTATTATTATTATTATTATTATTATAATAAATGAATAAACAGTAGAATCAGAATCAGAAATACTTATTTAAATGTGTTACAGTAACTTTAACAGGCAGTCACTACATAAGGATGTATAAGGATGTATAACAGAAGTATAAAGAAGCTTTTCCACTCACCGTCTTTAAGCTTTTTGGCCTTGAAGGGTCCCGTTTTCATTCTCTCCTTGCTCTTCATGATCTCTCGGAGCCTAAAGGGGATGTCTTTCAGGTGGTCTGGTTTGGCTCTCTTAGGTTTCCCATCTCGTTTCAGCTTCTTATCACTGAAGTTTAGACACATTACAGTCCCGACAGCGTTCAGGAAAAAAAAGTGGAGTCAACATTTTAAAAGGCACACATTCTTAACTTAACGACTTAAACACAAGGATGATGTAACGTTAAACAAGTTGAATCTCTTTTTTTTAATAGCTCGCAACTAATAGCAGCTAACAGCTAACGTTAGCTAGCCAGCAGTTTTTCTGTTAGCTTTACGTTACCTTGGATTTCTTCCGGCCTTGTCCGCTTGTTTTCCTGACTCGTTTGGCTTGTTCCTTTTATTCTTTCCCATGTTACTATCGTTTATTTCAGCGCATCACAAATGAATTGGCTTAACAAAACAATAACACACGTGGAACAGCGTGTTTAACCTTTGACACAGGAACCTCAAACCCAAAGCGGCAGGAGGGAGGGAGGAAGTGAAGAGCTCTCACTCCGTGTGGTTTCTCGGGTACCGTGTACTGTCAGTGGTACTGGCTCACCTGGAAAAGATCTGTCAAAGGAAATAACAAAGATCCAGTTCCCCTCCTCTGCAGTTATATATCCCACTTTTATCAATTACATTGTTTTTAAAGACTCCACTAAGTGGCAGCATGTCGTGTGTCGAGGACCTCACTCCTCTCCTTTACTGGTTTAGCTGTACTTCCTTTTCAGACATGTATATAAGGCATATATATACAAATAATCTGCTTGGAACAGTAATGTTTGTCTGATATGTTTCCCTCTTACAAATTATACATTAAAATCCTGCAAAAATGCATCTACTCCTTCAACCTCATTAAACATTGTTTGTTCATTGTTTAAAGTTTTGCTGCTGAACACAAGATGTCTCCTACTTCACTAAAGTGCATTTTCAACACACACACACATATATATATATATAAGTTTCTACATCACAGTCATTGATCACACTTGTGTAAATTGTAAATTGGACGAGGACAACTTTATCCCGGAGTGAGGCACTGATATGACAGACGATCTTGCTGCTGCTTGTGTTACTATCTAACACCACTAGATGGCGTCAATGATGATATTGAAAGTACAGTAACTATTTGATCTATCTGACCATCCGGATTGTGTATCATTGATTTTGACCTTCATTAGCAGTCATAACTGAAATTGTCAGATGCACCACACACATCAGAGTTTCTTGAACACATGTAAACATATTTTCCTCCCCCCCCAAAAAGTAATTTCCCCCAGGGGATTATTAAAGTATTTCTGATTCTGACTCTGATATACACATATTATATATATATATATATATATATATATATATGATCCACAGGAAGAGAGAGTGTGTGTCCAAACATGTGTCCTGTGTTTGTGCATGTGTATGAATGGAGTAGATCACAGAGAGAAACTGCAGCATACCATCAGATGAATGGACCAGGTGTGTGTCTGTGTGTGTTGGAGGTATATGTGTGTGTCGGGGCGATTACCAGGGTGAAATAATGCAACTCAATCTGAGAGACTGCTGATGAATGAGAACGCTGTCGTCATTCATGCTAGCATGTTCCTTGGCTGCAGACGTTGCATAATGTTGCAGGTGGTGGGGAGATACTGAGCATTATGGGACATATTGAAAGAAAATCCCACAGCTCTGTCCCTACACTGCACGTGTCTGGAAGACTGAATGAGTCCTGATGGACCCCCATTGACGCACATCCTCGTTGTTATTCTGAAGATGTTTTTTCTCTGGGGTCATGTGTCTGTTCTGGTCAGTCTTAGCTCAGATAACCCCTTAACCTGCCTGTCAGCCAATCCCTAATGAATGTACTGTTCCATATACAATGTGAGAGACCTGTGTGTGTACAAGTGAGGAGAGCCCTGCAGTTTATTGGTTGGAAGCCTCAGAATCGTCTCAGAGTCTGAAGTGTATAAGAGGGCTTCACCAGACACAACTCATCATCTAACAGCAGCCCTGATCTCTGCGACACGGCCAAAGATAACACATCACAGGTGAGCATTAACAGTGATTTACATTGTGTTTTTGAGCTGCAGACTGTGCTTTCTGGACACATTGTCAGTTTATATGTAAAAATAATATTGTTATTATATAACAATATGTCTCACTGTGTTATTTTATTTTTCTGTACTTTCAACTTCAAAAGTTCTTTAATTATGAGAAAAATAAAATGTTTCTTCAAATTTAAGATATCTACGGAGCCCCTAAAGGGACATGGGAAAATTTTTTTAAAAATGATTCTAGTGCGCACTAGATACTATCTTGTGAGCACTAGATACTATCTTGTGCGCACTAGATCCCTATCTACTGCGAACTAGATTTGAATATTAAAATTAGCCTTGTGTTGATAGGTCACAACACAAAAATGTAACCAATGAAATTACTTATTTTGACACACATTTTAAGCCAATAAGTATTTAACTAACAAGGTAATGTGTCGAAAGGTGGACTGTTTTTGTTATTTTCTCAAAAGAAGGACAAATGAGTGTCCGGCTGCAGGACAGGGCATTTAAATGTGGACTGTAACAAAAAAGGTTACAGATTAATTAACATTTATTTTTTAGTTACAGACAAATTAGTTTAATACTCATTTGAATATTAAAATTAGCCATGTGTTGATTCGCCACAACAGGATCCATATCTAGTGCTCACAAGATAGTATCTAGTGCGCACTACATAGTATCTAGTGCGCACTAGATAGTACTAGATAGTATCGAGTGCACACAAGATAGTATCTAGTGCACACTAGAAATGTTTCTTTTTTTTTCTCCCCCATGTCCCTTTAGGGGCTCCGTAGATATCAGTTTATTGGATTAAAAAAGTAATTCACTGATTAGAATGGTATTGGAAATGGGGAAATCAATGTGTCTAAGAAGAGCTACACCCAGTGGTCACTTTATTATGTACACCTGTCTAATGCAATCTATAATATCTGCTATAAAATTTACTTTTATGTCTTTAAATAATGTTCAGTTTTGATGTCATAGAGGTGTTAATTATATAAAAAAATTTAGCACTGAGGTCATAGGTAGTGTGGTGCAACTGTACTGGACTGCACTCTAACATTCTGCCTCCGTCATGCAGGCTGTAAAAAGGAAAGGTAAAAAACTAGAAACACCTCTATACCTCACCTCAATAATGAACATATCATTGAATGTACACATTTACAACAAGGGTCAACAAAAAACTGAACATGATAAACTTTATAAACAAAGAACTATAAATAACATTTTAAAAAGTTGTTAGAATTGCATTAGATTGTACCGCTGTACCTCATAAAAAAATCACTGAGTGTATATTTGTAACTGTGAGGCTACAGGTCTTAGCAATATTTAGAATATCACATGACTGAATTGATTTTTTTATTCTAATTATTTAAACCTCCACATTGGTACATATTTTCCTTGTAATCATAATAATAGTTTTATAAAATTTACTTTAAAAACTGTGTTCACCGGCAGACAATCGCAGTAATTAATGAGCTATTGTTGGGTTAGGACCATAAGCAGATTCAGCAGCTCGCACTAATCTGATTATAAAGGTGCTGTGAAGCTTAAAGGGTTAATTGTTAATGTGAGTGTGGCATTGCAGCCTGTATTGTCTGTAAACATACAAACAACAAGTCTCTGTTTCTGTAGTTATTAAGTTATTTACTAATCACAGCACAATTAATTTCGTATCAATTTGTCTAATGTAATAGCAAAATACAGGAAGTGTATTTAAATATAATTTTTTTATTTTTAGAGTACATTTCTTTTTATAACATATTATCTGTCCCATTACAGTTCAAACAACAACAGTATGGATTTGGATGTGGCCAAACCTCAAGCCAAGATTGGAAACAAAGGTCCCCTCAGAGCCACCGGCCCCGGATCCAGCCCACCCAAGTTTAAACAGAGGAGCAGCCGTCAGTTCAAGAGCAAGCCTCCCAAGAGGGGCGTCATTGGGTAGGCTTTTCTTAAGTGAATTGTCATGAGTGTCATTTAGTAAGTTTATATTTCCACACAATAAAGCTTTCTTTCTTCCTCAGCTTTGGAGAGGATATCCCAGGAATGGAAGGGCTTGGCATGGGTGAGCAGAATGACCAAAGTTAGGCAGCACCACAAAAAAGAACACACAAACCACACAGCTTTTCCTTTTTTACTCACTATTTGTTCTTCCTTTTTTTAGACATCACAGTAATCTGCCCATGGGAAGCCTACAGCCATCTAGAGCTACACGAACTGGCTCAGTATGGCATCATCTGAGTCTCTTTGCCTGAGAAGTTATTTTTTATATCTACTGAAGGGAACTGAGGTGGCAAGTTTTGATCTGGATCATTAATTGACTTTTACTTTTGACTTTAAATGGTTAACATGTAAAAAGATGATGTATATTATGGATGCTGTTCTTTGCTTAAGTTGTTTTATACATGAACCATATACCATTTTCATATCACTCTCAAGCTGCCCACTGATTATGAATGTTTTCTTGTGCTGTTGCCTGAGGTTACCATGGGGGCTGTGACTATAGTTACTGGCTTCAGAGACAGAGTTTCTGCACAACTGACAGCATCATGTTTGATCAAACTCAGAATGAATCTTGGATTTTTTAGGAATAATTTCTAACATTTCTTGTTTTTGTCAATCATAGTGTGTTATTAAACCATGCTACTGTGTTTTCTTACATAATTGCTGATGTAATGCTCTATTTGTCCCTTTTTGACAAAGAGTAGCACACATGAATCTGAAAACAATCGGAACAGTAAAGTAATTCAGGGATTTAAACTGATTCCCATGAATTTAGCACGCTATGTCCTGTGTATTTTGCTAACACTTAAATTAATAGTTTGACACTGATAATGGCATGTATGCTTTTTGGCTTTCTTGTTGAAGAATGATACCACCCTCGTATGGTAAATATGAAGCAACAGCCTAGCAACAGTTAGCTTAGCACAAAGAAATAGGGGTAAACAGCCTGCCTCTGTCCAAAAGTAACAAAATATGTCTACCAGCATATGTTATATTTTGTTTGTGGTTTTGTGCTGTTATGCTGTTTCAGGGACTATTTTCTTTTGTGTGTGTTTTCAGCTACAGCTCATTAAAAAAACTGGAAATTGTGCTTGATTCTAAGTATCATTTGATGGTGCTTTGCTGGGATGAAAAGTTAATAAATGTTGTCTGGTAGAAGGGAAGTTTTACTGCTCAGTGTAAGACGTATATAGGTGGGTCCTACATACTGTAGATTTAGACATATAAGCACAACATGCCTTGTAACTGAATGTTTAAGGTCCAGTGTTTAACATTTAGGAAGATTTATAAAATTCATAGGAATGTTTTCACTAGTGTGTATTGACCTTAAATGAGAATTGTTGTGTTTTTGGTACATTAGAATGAGACGTTGTTATCTAGAGCAATCCGCCATGTTGAACCACCATTTTCTCCTACACACTTGGAAGGCGAGCTGTATTTAGTTAACAATCTTTAACTTCACCGCTAGATGCCACTAAATCCTGCAGAGTGGTCCTTTAAATAGGTCTTCTTGGGCTTGGAAACTTACAATCTCTTTCTGAATCAAACACGGAATCTTGCCAGCTGAATATAGCACTTTTGTCTGTCACCTTGACATTATATGTTGGATTTTGCTGTCTTAAAATCCATAGTTATTTTTCATTTCTTCTGGCAAAACAGGCGCAGTCATCTGAGTTTTTTTCAACCAGCTGAGCTGTTTTTTGATCTCATGGTTTATAGGGTACAGTATGTTTACTGCATGTGACAAACAAGGTGAAGATTCAAAAGCATTTGAGCACTCATTAAATAAATATATTCATCAGCCCATTGCAGTTATCTGTAAACCTTATACCACTGGATGCTTTCCAACAGTCGTGTAGTGATAAACACAGTCAGAATCTGGACGCCCAGCACAACAATTCCAACTGTCCCTATCAGGCCCTCGTGCTGTTCAATCCAGCGAGAGATTCCCCCCAGACAACCGCCCAGGAAGATCACACTCTGAGCAGTAAACTCATCCAGCTGCTGGGCTCCTACACCACACTGAGAGTTCCACACTGTGCCGTTCTCCAAAGGGTCCACACAGCATGTCGCAGGGACACCGCAGGCCAGCACTCCTGGAGCTGAGCAGTTGTAGTATCTGAGGAAAGGAAAAAAATATCCAATAACAGTCTGTGCAGCACTTACTTTTTCAAGGCATTCCTACATCATGACCAAAACGTCATGGTGTACTTTTTTTTTATAAATATATCCAAGTTAGTCACCCTCTACTCACATGTTGATCTCCCAGTCACGATAGTTATCTGCCCCACAGCACTGTAGATTTGACTGAATCTCATCCGTGATGAACCTGAGATCCAAGTCGTCTTGGTAGCGCACCATGGCAGCTAACATTCCCGACCGCAGGTAGCCTCCAACCTGATCTCCTAGACTGTAGGCCATAATGGCGACCAGTACCTGCGCCGTGATGAGCACTAGCACAGCGGCAGAGAACAGTTTCAGTAAGGAGCAGTTCTCTCTTAAGGCGCCCACACAGCCTGACAGGCAGAGCAAAGTCAACACAAAGCCCAGAGTCACGAGTATCAGCATTGGGTCAGTGCCGATACTGCCGATCTTCTCCTGAGCAAACGACTCTTTGCTGATGAGGCCCCACATCCCCAGACCAAGAACCACCAGGCCCAGAACTGTGAACACCAGATTGCAAAGGAACAGGAAGTATTTTAGGAAGTAGTCTATCAAGGAATATCTGTGGTGGGGTTGGACACTTGCGAATACAGGGCTGTTGTTATCCTGTCCGTCGTTTGGCCCTGCTTGGTGAAATTCACTGGTGACATGGCTGAGCTCCTCAACATTCTCTTTTGTAGAGCCTGCCTTTGGAAACAGAAAATGCAACTTAATATCATAGTTTTTGAGAAGTAATTCCACCTCGAACATTTAATTACACTTCAGGTACTCTTTACTAAGGAAATGAATGTAACAAAACAGGCCACATACCAACTTAACATGAGAAAAGTTCAAAAGAGAGCAAAGTGACCCCTTACCTTTGGTATGAGCGGACTGGACTCATTCTGCGTGGTGTCCCTCCTCAACCACGGTAAAGGAATCCTTTTTAACAAAAAATATCTCCTCATGTTCCTCTCTGTGCTTTCAGCTGGTCAGACTGACACAAGCTAAAGTGGATCATAGGGCGAGCATTCACTACAGTATGAACAGAGGAGCATGTGAGCTGAGGTGGAGTAACCATGCAGTGTTTAGCCTCTGGCTACTGTGGGGCGTGGGATTTCTTCATCATGTGAGAGTCACAGTTAGGGGATTATGGCGATCAGAGCATGTATGAGAGACTCACACACACACACACACACACACACACACACACACACACACACACACACACACACACACACAGTGGAACTAGAACAAGAGACTTTTGATGTGAGGTTTACTCGCATAAACCACTAAGATGTCAAGGTGTTATATAATAATTTGATTACAGTTAGAAAAGATAGTTGAAAAGTAAAATATATGTTTTGCCCCACTGACTATAAAAGCAAATAATAATAAAAAATAAAAACTGGTATGCGCAATTTGTTTTAGGTCATCATCTCGTCTGTTTGGACCACAGTTTTCGGAATCATTATTCCAACCAAACCTGGGGGTCAAGGCCCTCACAGCAACTCTCAAAATACATGTGGAGTCATTAAATGATTAACAGGAAAGCAGACACAAGACTAGCAGCTTTGTGAGGCTGTATGTAGGCCCAGCAGTACTTCAAGGTAAATGCTAATGGAAACAATAACAATGACAATGCTAATATGGTGATCTTTAGGAGTTTTAATGTTGATGTTCATCATTTTAGTTTAGTGTTTTAGCATGAGAAACATTAGCCATTTAGCAATAAACACAAAAAACAGTACAGCTAAGGCTGATGGGGGGTTGTATGAGATCATAATTCACATGCATATTAAATATTTTGGCAGTAAAAAGACCCATGGCTGTAGCCCGATGGCTGTTAACATGCCCCAATCGCTATAGCCTGTGTACTTTGAAGTGGCAAACTCATATTCTCCTAATCATATTCTAACAAATACGCACAAACACAATAAACACAATTGTAGATAAATAATATTTTATCACCTCCGCTTTGACCAGTTACACATTTTAACAAATTTGCAACTACAATACACCACTTTAGTTAGGTGCAGTCCAGTTATAATATTTCTTCTCTTAACTATCCATTTAAATAATTCTAATTAAGTGCTAATTCCTGGCCCTATTAACAGACATTGCCTTTATCTGCTTAAAATGTCAAAGGTCCTCAATACAGATCAGATCTAACATCAGAAAAATATATTCCTACATTTTTCTCAGTTTCATTGCTCACACAGTAAGGCTGTTTGGCTGAGAAGGACATATCAGCTGGCGCTGGTATTATGGACTGGAATTTATTTTGCCAGTTGGAATATAAGAAGATCAAAGTTTCCACCAACGATCTCAACAGAGTTAAGAACGCCAGGCTGTTCTGGTGTAGATCCAAAGGAAATAATCCCTGAAAAAGCTGATGATGATATGATATGATATGCACATAAAACATAAATGCTCTACAATGAGTGAGGTGCATGCACATGGACTGAAGTAATTTCACACCCCTCGCGCAGTGAGCAAATGCAGCATTGATCATAAACAGCTTTCTTTTATGGGAGTAAGAGAAGGTAATCCAGGCTTGTAAATGTTGCATTTTATAGGATCGATGCTTGGCTATCTTTATGTTTTATCGGGGGAAAAAATCACCATGCAACACTTTCCCACACAGTGTTTTTATTTTTCTACGATTCCACTACTTTATCACTATTCAGCCATTTCAGCACTTGTTTGGTGACTGTATTTTGAAAGTATTCACCAGAGATTTTTGTATGTTCTCTGCCAGTCTAACAGGTAGACTGGTCTAAAAAAAACTGTTATTGAAGCAATGGTTTAATAACCATTTATGGTAGCATTTATTGCCAATACTGATGTAAATATGGCTCTGCCTAACAATCATATCAATAATATGTACGTAATCTTAGTATAATATTTATATTGATAATGATACTGTATTAGCCACAAGTTTAATATTGTGTTGCAGTTCCTCACTGGGACCACTAGAGGGCAAACTAATGACTCTAAACACCACGTGGATGAGGAAACATTCAAAATAAAGCAAAAAAATAACAAAAAAAAAAAATCAGTTTAATATGCCAAGTAGGTAGACCAAACAATCCTGAAGGTATTTTTTATTGCAGGGTTGTTTACTGGTTTTCAGAGGTTTGTATTGTTTAATAATAACATGTTAATCAACAACACAAATACTATTAATATAGCAAAACATACCCTTATTGCTAACTCTAAATACAAATAAAATGATGTATATGAGGATTATTCACTCTGTGTTAGACTATACAGAGAATAGGTGTTTTTTTGTGAATGTTTATTGTGTTCAGTAGAGCAGTTACTCCAGAATGTGTTAGCTTAGCTCAAACAGTGGAGGCAAGGGAAACTGCCAGCCAGTTAGATCTTCCATCTTCTCTTTAACTGACATCAAAATCAGATCAGGATTGTGGCAGCTCTTTAAAAGTGTGAAACTGACTCTAAATGATTACATCCCTCCTGTCAGGATTTTTGTTAAAAGTGAAATGAGGTAAGATAACAACAGCGTCGTTGTGGTCATTTGTCTCCTATAAACACTGACAGTCATGTGACTCGGTGAATTCTCATGGTGCACCTTCTGTTTGGCATCAGTCTTTGAAATATAAGAGCTGATGTGTTCCGGTTTAACTGTGCTCTCAGTATTGCTCTGATAAAGTCATTATGAAGTGATGTGCTGCTGTGAGTCAATAACAAGCAGCATGTGACAGTGAGTTAAAAAGCAGAGAGAGGCCTGGTTATCTCACTCTCTGGCTCTGTAGGTCCAGTGCTGTCATTCTTTCCTCTGGCTGTGCTGGACAGAGCTGCAGGGAGCTGGAAGGAAGTCAGTCTACTGACTGGTGGTGGACTCCAGACGGGGCTATAAGGCTTATAAGACTGGGCATTAGTGCTGCCATAAATCTGTTTCCATATTAATGTGTATTAACTGAAAAACAAATTATAATTTGTCATGCTCATCACTGACCTTCCAGATAACTTTGTGTGTACAGTTTGTAATAGCTTTCGCAGTTTTCAAGTAGTTTTCAAGACTTTTGTCTTCTTGGCATTGCAGATTAAAGCGTTTGGTGGTGTTCCTGTAGTTGGAGATACACTTAGCAGGTGCCTGTATCACTGCTCTGCAAAAATACACAGTAAACTGTAATGGAAAGCAACTGTGTATATTTACTTGAGGTACATTTTATGCTACTTTATGCTTATATTTCACTACATTTCTGCAAATATAATATTTAAACTATCTACAGGTTATTGTTTACTGCCAAGATTAAGGATTTACATTCAGATCATAAATTATGATGCGTTGTTACACTATCCAACTAAACATAAAAAGGTAAAATGCTGCAAAAATAATCCAGCAGTGCAATATGGGGGGCCTTTCTGCTACATAATGAGTACTTACTTTTATACTTTTTTCTGCGGATCATTTTACAGAATATTTTCACTTTTGCATGAATTATACTGGAGTATTTTTACCTGGAGCTTTTGCTCGATATTTCTTCCACTGCACATACGACACATACCTTCTTTTACTGCTCTGCTGCTGCTGCTGCTGCTGCTGCTGCACATTTCCACTGATGTAGTGGAAAATAATAAGCTAGGAGAACAATGAACTTCAGTCTGTGATGATTAAAAGATAAACCACTCCAAAAAATTATACTTAAATGTCAGTTTCAAATGTAGGAAAATGGGTTCAATCCAGATTTACAAACCAGCTACTTTACTGTGACTGGTTGCTGACAGAGTGGATTATCTGTTGGGTGTCAGGTAGCTTTTCTTAAACGAATCTAACAAATCCCACTGTTTCCTTGTTTATAAATCTTTTTGGGGGATCTGATCCAAAGAGCATTTCATTTAGTTTTGAATGGAATCCAAATAATTCTCTAGTGTTGTCAGCAGTGAAGATGTATAGTACTTATTGTATCATGTTCATCCTACTTACAGCATGCAGTGCAATATGTTGTCTCATGGGTTTAAAGTTGGTGCAGATGGCAGGGACTATTGCCCAGTCAGATTCCTTTTCAGCAGTGATGGGCTCATGCCATGTATGAATAATGCGTGTGCAGTGCAGGATGCAGCACCAAGGAGCTCTGGAATAGATCAGTGCTGGAATTTCTTGTGACAAAAGGTATTTCATTTCAGAGCCGACAAGGAAAAGGCAATCCTTTTGCCCGGTATTTAAAAATCAAGGAAAAAGTGCTTTGGTGATATATATTTTTCTACTTCTTTTGGGTCCAGCTACATTTTGCCTGCCCAAAACTGTCCTGATTGAAGATGGAAGAAATTTCTCCTAGCAATGAAACTAAAGAAAATGTGTTGCTTCACCTACCATCAGCAGTTAATTATCTAGACTCATCAAGGCTGGATAATGTCAAGCTTAGTGAACTGACAGCAGCTTTTATGAGTTAGGGATGTCAGCGGTAAGGGAATCTCTTGGGAGCTATATATTTCTCTCATGACTATATAACAGCTGTTTTAAAGTTGACTGTTAGAACGTATCAACAAAGTTACCATACCCAGGCTCTGCTACAGCCCCTGACTGAGGAAAACTGGCAAATATTCTCTAAAATAGTCAATTTTATTTAAACAATTAACACTAAACAATATGTCTTCACTCCCTTATTTTCAGCATCATCACCCTTGACAGTTAAAGGAACCATTGCTGGCTGGGGCTGCCGTAGCCCAGATGTTGAGCAGATTGTATTACAGTAGGCAGTAAGAATGCTATATCGGAGCCACACGGCTACATCAAACACCTCCTCTGGATTAGAGCCCATAGGGAGTGCAGTTGCCCTCCAGCGCTCAACAGCTAAAAGACATGTGGAGGATGGATGGAGCATAGATAGGGGATTATCAGGACCTCCCATCCAGCTCTATGGGTTATTTATCATTGTAGTAGATGCACAGTCTGCAAGACGCAAATCTGTAGTGGAAAGCATGTGTGCACATGTGTTTGGGGAGCTTTGCCTTTGGTGCCTGATATGTTATATGTCTGTGCATGCAGCAGAGTGTGTCATCACTACATCACTGAAGTGGGTGGGAGCAGGTGGGGGGAATGGTCTCCGGGAGTTTAGGGAGGCAGTTATAAGAGAGTGCTGCCCAGGTCATGTTTTCTCAGTGTGTCACTGTTGAAGGATCGTACTGCGTAGTGTGTTCTGCTCCTGTGACCTGGAAAGACCCCTGGTACTACTTCTCAGAAAGGTACAGTAAAACTGTTTTCATTCTTTGCATTGGTTTTCACCCACAGAACAGTAAAACTAAGTGAAGATAGAATACATTGCCTCAAATATATGCACGAATCAGTGTTATCTCATAATTATAATCTGTATGCTGTAATCTGGGAGACAAATCCTTTGTTTACTAAGATCTTTAATTCAAATATATATTACTCACTTATCAAATAAATCAAGTGAAATTCTAACATTGTCACCAAGCGTAAGAGGCACTTTACAGGCTACTTCCAAATTTGTCTGATATCACTTTCCTGTTTCTCAGCAGCACCCATATCTTATTATTCTGTTTGTGTGAGGTGAGGAAGATGAGGATGAAGGGGGTTCTGGCCCTGCTCTGCATGACCTTAACATGTGGAGCTCAGAAATGGAAACAGGAAACCCCACGTTGGGACCCTAAAGGTCTGGGACTATATGATTTTCCACAATCTGCAAATGATTATCGAAACGGTTTCATTTAAAAAGCACGACATTTTATTCATACTGTTCAGGGTAAATATGTATATACTCCTAAATTTCTGTCTTCAGCAGAACACACCAACGGCAAGACCTGTTCCAACCTGACTCAGGTACTGGACAACTGGAAATTTGCTATTATAACCCAAGTGAAAGACCTGCTGATCAACGACCATGCCTCTGTCCTACCTGAATACAACAGGTGGGTCCAAATGGCTTCTGACTGGACGTACTGTAGATTGCAGTGATGGTGGACAAAGAGGCAAGAACAAGGAGAGAAAATAGAGTCCAAATGTTGAGTAAGAGAGGCGAAATGTGCAAGAATAACAGCAGTCAGTGATGTCAGTGAACATGTTATTGTTCTCTCAACAGTCGTACAAAATTAGGAATTATGCAACTTCCGTTGCTTTGCATGTGACCACTGACCTGTCAGAGCCAGTAATGTGAGCCTCTGATTATTCTGGTCCACACAAGGCCGACTCTGCTTTTTAAATGACCTCACTACGGATCTGTGCCAATAGAATACGGGAAATGTTTCAGCCTTGTGAGCTGAAGAATTGAGTGTTTCTGGCAGATATTACTGTAAGTCACTGACCTGTTCCTTTGGAGATTTGGCTTTTTTTATTAGCATGATACCAGCTAAGAGCATGTTTGATGTGAACATTTCCACATAACATAACCACAACATTTGAACTGCACTCTCAGAGTCCATTCTTAAATTTGCGCCAAAAATCTGCTGTTTATACTTTCTTTCCATTTCCGTTCTTTTTTCTTCCGTTTTTGATGTCTGCTATCCTGATGTTTCCTGCAGATGATGGGACTGTTCCTGCTTAACAGCATGTCGTGACTTTCATGTTCATGTTGCCAATTTGACTTGGTTCTCGTCTTGGTTATGTTTTGCCAATAAGCAATGTTCCTATTTCATGTGAGCTTGTGGAACATTACGGTGCCAAAGCTCTTTGACTGGTCACTTCAGTACTGAAATAATTTACTCATTTGTATTTTCCCAAACCTCCCTGCATGTTTGCAGGATCCAGCCTCTATCAGACGCTCTGGGAGACCTCTACAGGCAGTTTAACACTCTAAAAGACGAGCTGGGGAGGCTCACCTCGAAGTTTGACAGTGTGGAGGGTTTTGTGGACGATCTCAAGGACGGCAGATCCACTCTGCCTCATCGGCCCGTACGGAGGGTCCCCCCCAACGTTGGTCTGAGGTCTCCACTGCTAGCACAGATGAGGGCTCCTGTCAAGGGAATTATCAAGGGGCCAACATTGACCAGAGCGAGGAGGAGAGGGCCACAGAGACCGTAGACCTGCCTACCGGCTTTTGTCTGGTCTCAATGCTGATGTATGGAATAAGAGTTGATATGTTTATTAGAAGATGATTAGTTTATATAATTTTATTGATGAGTGTGGTGGGAGATCTGGTCACATGAATGGTGTAGAAAACATGATAAAATGTATTTCTCTTCGCCTGTCTGTACAACGTCACTTTCCACCACAAGGTGGCAGCATTTATGAAATTATCTCGACTGTCATCCTGCTGCACTATGTGTATTAATTGCTGGACATAAAGTAACATAATGGCTGAAAATGTAGTCTAGAATTATGATAAAATACAGTATATACAGTATATTTTTCACATCAATTAGCATTGTATGAACATTTTTGTTGTAATGGAGTTTTTTACCCAAATAATTATTAAAAAGAGATTTATGTGCAACTTACATTAATCAATCTAAGTAGACATTTATTGAGCATTTTTCAAGACTGAAACTCTTTCTGTGCTACCTCATACACACACACACACACACACACACACACACACACACACACCAGTGGTGGTAGAGCTGACATGCGAGATGCTGGTCCAACCAAGAGAGCTTTTAAACATTTATTTCCTTATACAAATAAAACTATTATATAAAACATTTATTTATTTTACAATACATCTCTAAAAGAAATGGTTTAGGAAAGTACAACTATATACTTTCACCCTAATATACTGATTAGCCATCTATACAGTAGAATTACATGGACAATAGCATAAGCAAGAATGAAGGAGAGTTTGTTTCTGACAACTTGATGAATTTTAGAGAGCAAAAACAATTCACCCGTTGATTGTTTCTGTGTTCCTCTCCGCCACAACCAAAATAAAGATCACATATAACAATTTAAATAAGCAGTATTGAAAATATTGTAACAACACTGAGTTTATGTAATTTCTACATTTTCAATTTTATGTTGTTTGTGACGGCTGCAAGATTCACTCACTACATTAGACAATGAAATGTAGTTAATTAGAGGTAACCATCTTGTTTGGTTGATAGAAAGAAAGCAAGTGGTTTTAACCTGGAAGTTATCAATAAAGTAAAAAGTGTATGACAACAAACTGAACATTTTTACATTTTACAAATAAAAGTTTTTATCTACATTGACAATGGAGAGAGAAAAGACATTTCCCTTTACAGAAGATAAGAGACCAACAAATGTGACAAACCATGCAGAATGAACCAAAGCTCCTCCTCCTGTCAGTCACTCTCAGTTTCAGTGTTGTATTAAATTGCTCCTCCAGCACCTCATCTCCTCATCCTCCAAACCCTCTAATCTGTCAGCAGTACACTCACTTTCCAAGTTACAAGGCCATTCTCAGCACACACTGACAACATGCTGGGGACCCTCTGCACTCTCATCACTGCTCTAACATGTAAGGAGGCTGACTTACTGCAGCTTTGAGCTCATGTTGGATTCATCAGTCTATGTGTTTCTCTTGACTCCATGTCATCTTGTTGTTTCCAGGTGTGAGTGGTGTGACGGTGGTGACACAGAAGCCTCCTGTTGTGACGCTGAGGAAAGGAGAGACAGCCACCATGGACTGTAACCTGGGGACTGTTACTGGTAGTGCTGCTCGCTGGTATAAACAGATTCCAGGAGGAGTTCCTCAGTATGTGTTGAGGTTTCATCACAGCGATAGCTCTCCAAGCTATGGCTCTGGTTTCTCCTCTCCAAAGTTCACATCTACTCATCAGTCACGATCAGATTATCGTTTGATCATCAACAATGTGGAGGAGGGAGACTCAGCAGTCTATTACTGTCAAACATGGGACGGCTCTGTCAATGAGTGGGTATCACAGTGATTTACACTGTGACAAAAACCTCCTCAATGAACATTTCTGCTTTTTGAGTCTTTTACACATCTTGACTGGGAATCAGCAAACAGCCAATGCTTTCTGTAACTTTATGCATGTTAAAATTCCATTTTAAAACTACTAAGCCCATTTATTGTATTCTCACATAAATCCTTGGAACTATCTGGTAGTTGTCTATGTGCACAACATACAACAACAGGAACAATAATAAACAAACTCAAACAACTGATTTGGGGTTATGTTGAAAAAACACATACATTCTGTCATTTATTAATGAATGAGAACAGTGTTGAGTGTTTACACCACACACTGACAACATGCTGGGGACCCTCTGCACTCTCATCACTGCTCTAACATGTAAGATATTCTTCTCATTCCTTTTATAGCCCATATTTTCACACAGAGACCTTTCACTCATGTGTTTTTGACAGATGTTGATGCAGTGATAGTGCTGACCCAGACGCCTGCTGTCCACACAATTTCGACAGGACAAGAGGTTGTTCTCAACTGCAACATTGAGAGATATGATGGAAATGATGTCAGTTGGTATAAACAGGTTCCTGGTGAAGCTCCTCAGTATGTACTCAGCTTTCACTAAACTGACAGTTCACACAGCTTTGGAACAGGATTCTCCTCAGACCGATTCAACTCTAAAGCCTCATCAGACATAAATTACCAGTTTATCATTAAGCGGGCAGAGACAGGAGACTCTGCTGTCTATTACTGTCAGACATGGGACGACTCTGATGATGCAGCTGTATCACAGTGATTTACACTTTGACAAAAACCTCAATGAGAGACTCACCTCAGCTTCTATGAATTCTGAGAACATTTTCATATTGTTATTCTCAGTTTGATGCTGATATTTGAACTTTTAACAAAATCATGAAAACAAAAGGATGCAACAGAAGATTCAGAACCAGTCCTCAAGTCCAGCAGTGTTTCTGAATGTAAGCAGACTGATGAAGTGAATGAGATGTTGACAGTGAAAGTTGGTCTCAACAGGATGTTTCAGTTCCACTCCCCTCATTAGTGAGAGTCAGGAGGTTTTTGTACAGCCATGTATACAAACTGAATCACTGTGGCATTCGGACAAGGCACCAAGCTGATTGTGACAAGTAAGTACCTTTTAACTGATTATAAAACAGGACAGATTTTCTGTTTCTGATACATACTAAGAGAAAATGATAAATTCATATGTTGGTGATTGTTTAAAAGATTGTTTTAAATATTTTACATGCTTAATACTGTAAAACTACTGTGCTTGTAATGTTAATTTATTAATTAAATAAAACAAAACATTCTAGATATTTGAAATTAAGAACTGTTTCTCCTTTTATAATTATATAGATGCCACAAAGCTGATTCACTGTGATTTCAAAATTATTGAACAATATTTAAAATGCATTTTTAAGACACAGAATATAAAGGTAATGAATTAGTTACCAACATAAAAATGACAAAGAAGTGATCAAAATATTTCCAGGTTTGTGACTGATTGATTTGGTTTTATGTTAGTTGATGATTTTTAAAAGTGTTGACAGATTTAAAATGCTTTATTTCTTAAGCAGGATTGTTATATTTTTCAAAATATAAAAATATATTAATGTTTTACTGACATTTTTTTGTATGAATGGCTTAATTTCTACTTATTTAATGAATGCCCTTTTTTTATTGGCCTTGTAACTACTCAGAATTATCTGTCCTTTATTGTTAATTTTTCTCAATGATTTGCTTTATAGTTATTTGATGAATGTCCTTCATGTATTGTTAGGCTCCAGCCTCTCTCCTCCTGTCCTGACAGTCTTCCCTCCGTCCAGCGCTGAGCTCCAGTCCAACACAGCCACTCTGGTCTGTCTGTCCATTTTGCCCAGTGGGTCTAAGGGTTTTGCAGATGTGAGCTGGGTGTCTGGTGGGAGTCCAGTGAGCAGTGGGATCTCTACCAGCACCGCTGTTCAGAAACCAGACCAGACTTTCCAAATCAGCAGCTATCTGGCCATCCAGACGTCAGACTGGAACATGGATAAGGTTTACACATGTAAAGTGTCTTTGGGCTCCCAGACTTCAGAGAAAAACATCAAGAAGTCAAACTGTCCCACTGAAGAATAGCAGAGGAGCAGAATGACCATTTCTAACCTGCTTCTTTACTTTTTGTGCTGTTTGCTCATTACAAGGTTTACATGTTAGAAAAGATGTCTGCATGCTTGTAATAAATGTTGTGACAGTTAGGTGGAGGTGTTGTATCAGCTTTGCAACTGCTGCATTTTCCAGACTCATTCAATAAAAAGTTGTGATCAAAATACTTTGTGTTCATTTGTCCTTTCTTAATTTAAAACAATCATATTAAGCTGGAACATTTGCAACCTGCACTAGATTTAATTTTGTTGTTAATGTTCATGCCACCGATAATTACAGTTTATCCAGGACACATAAATAACAGACATATTTCTGTATAATTCTTGCTGTAACAAGTATAGTTAAAATCAGACAGCTTCAATTTCATTATTAGGGAATTTGCAACAAAAGTATAACAGACAGATTCATATTTTGTTGTCTGGTTTAAGTTAGTTGCATTAGTTCAGATGTTAGAAAAATCAGATAAAATGAGAAAATGAAACTGAGTTTTCACCCTCCATCAGTGAAGCATCACCTCTCTACTCCTCCCTCTCTTCCTTCCCAGGATGCACCTGCAGGCCTCCTTTCCTTATTCATAGCTCCATGTAAATGAAGAGGTCAAGTATCAGCTCTCTGTAAAATGAGAGGGAACTGTCTCTGACTGGAAACACACTGATGGTTTGATTAGTGTCCTTTGGTCAAAATTAGACAGTTCACTTCTTGTTTGTGTGAATGATTTTAATGTGTGAAGAGTCAAAACTTATATCCCACAATAGTTATCTTTCCTTAAAATGCAAAAATCACGAACTAAAGGAAATAAATATACCAATCAGGGAGGAGACAAAACCTACACTGACAATAATAGAGACGCAAATTACTTTTCCCTTTACAGAAGATGAGAGACCAACAAATGCACATTGAACCAAAGCTCCTCCTCCTGTCAGTCACTCTCAGTTTCAGTGTTGTATTAAATTGCTCCTCCAGCACCTCATCTCCTCATCCTCCAAACCCTCTAATCTGTCAGCAGTACACTCACTTTCCAAGTTACAAGGCCATTCTCAGCACACACTGACAACATGCTGGGGACCCTCTGCACTCTCATCACTGCTCTAACATGTAAGGAGGCTGACTTACTGCAGCTTTGAGCTCATGTTGGATTCATCAGTCTGTGTGTTTCTCTTGACTCCATGTCATCTTGTTGTTTCCAGGTGTGAGTGGTGTGACGGTGGTGACACAGAACCCTCCTGGAGCCACCATGGACTGTAACCTGGGGACTGTTACTAACAGTGCTGCTCGCTGGTATAAACAGATTCCAGGAGGAGTTCCTCAGTATGTGTTGAGGTTTCATCACAGCTGGAGCTCTCCAAGATATGGTTCTGGTTTCTCCTCTCCAAAGTTCACATCTACTCATCAGTCACGATCAGATTATCGTTTGATCATCAACAATGTGGAGGAGGGAGACTCAGCAGTCTATTACTGTCAAACATGGGACAGCTCTGTCAATGAGTACGTATCACAGTGATTTACACTGTGACAAAAACCTCCTCACTGAATACTTCTGCTTTCTGAGTCTCTGATATATCTTGACTGGGAATCAGCAAACAGCCAATGCTTTCTGTGCCTTAATGTATTAAAATTATTATTATTATTATTATTTTTTTAATTTTAAAACTATAAACCCTTTTATCAGATCCCCACATAAAAATGTAGAACTACCTCAGTGGCAGTCCTCTGTGATATGTACCATTGTTACAAAATAATTGTTTACAATGAATTTAATATTTCTTATAATAAAATATGAAAATAATAGAAAGTTTGCAACACTTTCTAATTTTCTGATCTAAATTCAAATAATGTGAAAACATATTTCTTCATATAAATCCTCTGGTGCACATGTGATGATTATTATACTTGTATAACTTAATAGGACCAAAGTTGATCTAGCAGACAAAACTAGCAAAAGCAAAAAACTAATTGTTAAAGTGCAACTTAAACAGAACCTAATGAAAATACTACACTGATCTGTTCACATCACAGATCATAGAATTATTTCCAATTAATAAATAACATGAGTCATTCTTAATATGGAGGATGCTAACTAATGTTTACTCTACATCCTGATTATTATTGAACACTGTTTACTGCACATACTGTAACATACAACTGTAATAAAACATGAACCTGAATGACAATGAAGTCATATTTAGCATGTGATTAGATTTACTACATTTTTGTAAATAAAACAGAACAGCACTTTAAAAAGAACATTTGTAACTCCCCTGAGATCATTGACACTGATGTAAAAGACATCAGCAGACCTTGAAAGACAGCAGGAACAACAACAAAAATAATAATAATGTGGATATGATGTGACAATACATTCTGTCATTTATGAATGAATGAAAACAGGGTTGAGTGTTGAAGCTGTCTCACAGTGATTTCCACTGTGACAAAAACCTCCTCCTACTTGTGTTTTTCTAGACTCTGACATATCAACTCATGCTCTCTATTTAAAAATGACTTACTGAAATACTACTTATTTAAACTTATTTTACCAAAAATTAAGAAATCATTAATTTAACGTTTGTTGTTTTATGCATTTTGCTTTGTTCTTTTCACTGTGACTTTATTTACAGCAGACGTTTGTAATAGCTACTCTTTGAATTGTCTTGTGTCTTAATCATGCTATAGAAATAATCTTGCCTTGCCTCATAATTAATAAACAAAGATACACTCAGAGGGATATTGAGAAGGATAAAAGCACTGAGATGATAAATGGACGTTTACACTGTCAACAATGCTGTTTATCTTCATAATATAAAATGCTGTAAGAACTTTATAACACAAACTTAAAAACCAAGGCGATGTAATTATCCTTCTGTCTATATAATGTTCTAGAAAGATACAGAAATGAACCTGATATAACTATTAGAGTAGAAAAAAAAATGTTCAAGAGCAATCAAATACATTTTCATCAGACACATTTCAATGTGCAATACAATATTTCTAATATCTGTTGTTTATTAATAAATAATATGTAGTGAAATTGCACAAATGATGTAGCTGATTAATGAATGAGAACAGTGTTGAGTGTTGAAACTCCTCCTCCTCCACTTCTCCTCTCCTCAGTGTCTTTATAAGCTTCAGTCTCTCTTCTCCTCACACTCCAACCCTGCTCACCTCTCAGCTGGACAGTAAGGGACGTTTACACCACACACTGACAACATGCTGGGGACCCTCTGCACTCTCATCACTGCTCTAACATGTAAGGAGGCTGACTTACTGCAGCTTTGAGCTCATGTTGGATTCATCAGTCTGTGTGTTTCTCTTGACTCCATGTCATCTTGTTGTTTCCAGGTGTGAGTGGTGTGACGGTGGTGACACAGAAGCCTCCTGTTGTGACGCTGAGGAAAGGAGAGACAGCCACCATGGACTGTAACCTGGGGACTGTTACTGGTAGTGCTGCTTGCTGGTATAAACAGATTCCAGGAGGAGTTCCTCAGTATGTGTTGAGGTTTTATCACAGCAATAGCTCTCCAACCTATGGTTCTGGTTTCTCCTCTCCAAAGTTCACATCTACTCATCAGTCACAATCAGATTATCGTTTGATCATCAACAATGTGGAGGAGGGAGACTCAGCAGTCTATTACTGTCAAACATGGGACAGCTCTGTTAATGAGTGGGTATCACAGTGATTTACACTGTGACAAAAACCTCCTCACTGAATACTTCTGCTTTTTGAGTCTCTGACACATCTTTACTGGGAGTCAGCAAACAGCCAATGCTTTCTGTACCTTTAAGTATGTTGAAATTCTTCTTTTTCTTCTTCTTCTTCTCTGGTGGAGGTTTGTTGGTGAAAAGCAAGTAGCATTTTTCAAAACTATTTAAGTTTTTCTTTTCTTAATGAGTCTTTATTGTATGTCATGTTTGTTATATTAGTTAGTTTATAGTTTAAAGTCCGTTTAGTGTTTGTGTGTGTTTGTTCGTGTCTCGTGGCGAGGATGGCGTCCTCTGAGACGCCACCTGTGTCACTGAGACAGCTCCACCGTAGAGCAGGTGCTGCTGGCTGTGGGAGAGCAGATAGGCCACGGAGACATCCTCCCGCATGAATAAAGCGCTCGTGGTGTTTTGGAAAAACCAGAGCTGTGTAAGTGAACTCATCCGAGAGTGCTTTAATTTTAGATGAGGCGTTCATTCCAATTCCCCCACTGGCTGTGTCCTCTACCCGGATAACCGTCTCCGTCGTTCCTCCATTCATCCCGAACGAAGCGCTGGAACGAGAGCTGAAACGGTTCGGTAAGTTTGCGAGTGGTTTCCGCACTGTTGCTTTGGGATGCAAAGATGTAAAATTAAAGCATGTTCAGTCTCTGCGGAGACAAGTCTTTATGTTTCTGGACTCAGACACTGGATGTGTCCTTCTGTGTTCGACACGAGGAGAGGTTTTACATGGTGTACCCGAGCTCTGGGAGCATGAAGTGTTTTGAGTGTGGTGATGTGGGCCATAAACGTATTGCATGTCCGCACAGACAGCACACAGCGGGACCCGCTGAGGCTGACAGTGGCGAGAGGAGCGGCGAGGCAGCTCCGCCTGCGAGCCGAGTGTTTCGAGAGATGAAGCAGGGAAGGAGGGTGTAAATGTTGTGAGTGTAGAGAAGGAAAGTAGGAGGGGGGAGGGGGAGTAGGGCTGAACAGGCTGGGGCTACTACACCTGGGGAGGTGGAGCCTAGCGCAACAGAGCAGGTGGAGGCTGGTGAAGTAGGACAGGGGGAGGCTGTGACAGGGGGAGGCAGGTACAGCAGGACAGGGGGAGGCAGTGACAGGGGGAGGCAGGTACAGCAGGACAGGGGGAAGGCTGTTGATATGGAGCAGGAGCTGCAGTCTGGTGCTGGGCAGCAGACAGAGCTGGTACAGGTGGTTACAGATAACAGTCAGGTGACGGTAATGGACTCAGATGGTGAGGTTGACTCTGACAGTGTGTCTGTAGCAGACAGTGTCTCTCAGAATACAGACTTGTATTCTCTTAAAGAGGTTAACTATTTCCTAGATGATTCTTTTGGCAGGTCAGTGGAAATAAGGGAATATTTCCTTGCTATTAAAAAGTTTATTCAGTATGCACTCCGCCATGGCTCTAATCTCAGTGCTGGAGTTTTATCCAGAACAGAGATCGTAGCAGGCAGAGTTCTGATGGTGAAGGCAGAAATAGAAAGTTTTACCTTTACTTTTATTAATATGTATGCACCCAAATCATGGTCCTGAACGTTTGTCTGTGTTTAAGTTATTAAAAGACAGCTTAGATAGCTGGAACTGTTGCACTGATGTCATTTTAGACAGGACAGGAGCTCCATCCTCAGTCGTTTTCTTTTCTGTCTCAGCTGTGAAAATATCAGATGGTAGGGTTAGTGCAGCCAGGTTAGACAGACTTTACCTGTCTGCTTCTTTTATAACTCGCGCAGCTAACTGTCAAATCCTCCCTGTTGGTTTTACAAACCATCATTTGATTTTAGTAGATTTGGTTTTATCTCCTTCTGGGAAACCTAGGTCCTTCTGGCAATTTAACGTTAAACTTTTACATGACTTTAATTTCTGTGAAAACTTTCAACTGTTTTGGGCTAATTGGAGATCCAAGAAAGAGTTTTTTTCCCTCCTTGAGTCAGTGGTGGGAGGTTGGAAAGGGTCAAATTAGGGTGTTCTGTCAACAGTAAACGTCCTACTCTACTGCAAATATTAGAGGGGCTATGGAGCAGTTAGAGTCAGTAATCAGAGAGCTAGAGAGTATGTCTGCTGAAAACACTGAACAGTTACACCTCAGAAGGCAGCAGCTGAACTCGTTTCTTCAAGAGAAAGCTGAAGGAGCTCTGGTCCGAGCACGCTTCACCACTATAAGAGACATGGATGCACCAACCTCCTTCTTCTTCAGCCTGGAGAGGTCTGTGGCCCAAAGGAAGCAGATGGTGTGCCTCCGCCTGCCTGATGGGAATTTGACCTCTGACCCCGCTGAGATGAGGAGCCATGCAGTGTCTTCGTACTCAGACCTGTTCAAGGCAGAAGATTGTGAAGTGGATGCTGCTGATGAACTTCTTCAAGGTCTTCCACAGCTGAGTCCAGGAGAACGTGACACCCTGAGCTCTGACATCTCTTTAGAGGAGCTGACCTCTGCAGTGACACAAATGGCCTCAGGAAAGGCTCCAGGCATGGACGGCCTACCTGCAGACTTTTTAAAACATTTTTGGAGTTTTCTTGGACATGACCTGCTGGACGTTTTTAAGGAGTCTTTTGAGAAAGGAACTCTTCCAGTCTCCTGTAGGCGTGCTGTGATCTCCCTGTTACCCAAGAAGGGGGATCTGACCCTGTTAAAGAACTGGAGACCTGTAGCTCTTTTGTGTACAGACTACAAGATTTTGTCGAAGGATTATTTATTGGTACTGATCAGTCGTATTGTGTCCCTGATAGATCAATACAGGACAATTTGTTTTTAATGAGAGACATTTTTGAAGTTTGCAAACTTTACAACATTAATGTGGGTATCGTTTCTATTGACGTTAACGTAATATTTAAAATCATTAAAAGCAGTTCTGAAAAGGTGGGTTTTGATCAGTGATTTGAAGTTGGATGAATCAGTACAGTCTCTGATTTGTTTGGGGAGAGAGTTCCAGAGGGAGGGGGTAGCAATGGAGAAGGCTCTGTCGCCCCAGGTACGATGCTTGGTCCTCAGTGGTGGAGACAGGAGGTTGGCATCAGAGGAGCGGAGGCTTTGGGAAGGAGTGTGGCGATGGAGCAGGTCTGCAAGGTAAGAGGGGGCCTGGTTGTCGAGGGCTTTGTGAGTGAGGAGGAGGACTTTAAATTGGATTTGTTGCTGGACAGGGAGCCAGTGGAGGTTCTGTTGGACAGGGGTGATGTGGTCACGGGAGCGGGTATGGGTGAGCAGGCGAGCAGCAGAGTTCTGGATGTATTGCAGTTTATTAAGGACTTTAGGAGATGTACCATATAAGATGCTGTTGCAATAGACAATTCTCGATGTGATGAAAGTGTGGATTAGGGTCTCGGCAGCAGAAGGGGAGAGTAAGGGGCGGAAGGCCTGCAGTGTTTTTCAGGTGGAAGAAAGCAGTTCTGGTGATTTTTTTAAATCTAAATTCAGATAATGTGAAAAAAAACTTTCTTGATTTTAATCCTCTCCTGTGCATGCAACGTTATTTATACTCAAATACCTTAAGAGGCCCAAAGTTGATCTAGCAGAAAAAAGTAGCAAAAGTAAAAAAAAAGAGAAGAAAGTATGAGTAAAACAGAACCAAGTTAGAACCGAGTAATCAAATATGTGTTATTTAATAAGAGATAATATAATGTAAAACTGTGCTAATGATGTAGCTGATTAATGAATGAAAACAGTGTTGAGTGTTGAAACTCCTCCTCCTCCACTTCTCCTCTCCTCAGTGTCTTTATAAGCTTCAGTCTCTCTTCTCCTCACACTCCAACCCTGCTCACCTCTCAGCTG